AATATTGTAGACAGATAATAACCAATTGATGCTAGCGAAATTCCGAAGGCAGCCTGTGATAATATTCCGCATAATATAGTATGTCATCATTTCACGTGCATGTTGTGATTCATCATAAGATCAATTACTTTAAACGCTGTTGGCCGTCTTTGTTCTCGTAAAAATTAATAAATACCATATGTTTTTTACCAACAATTTTTATTGCAATATATAGTACTGTAACAACAGAAGACAAGGGCCAGGCAACAGGACGTTTATTTCGGAAAATCAACACGTATTTATAGATTTTGATGTACATTATTGTAGGTCAATGTTAGTAGAAAATACAGTCTGTTGATTGGTTGTTTCTCACGCAAAGTAACCTTGCATATCTTGTGGCTGTGTCAGTTCATCTGTATGTTAACTGCATCCGCCTGTCCACCTTGACCTTTGACCTAAATTACTGTCAACCAATTTGGCTAGCGACCATCTCTCACCACAGTACGATACAGCATCTTACATTCACGTGCCAGCCTTTGTCTTTTGATATTTGCTTGGTCCAGTGAATCGGAAGTAGGCGCAGACATAAAAAATGGTTAGGGTTCTCACTCAGTTCAGTGCAGTTATAACAGCCTACCGACGAATGGGAACACCTGAATATTCATGCAATTACATATTTAGGTTTTCCACAGTGAGAATCAGTCGTGAAGAAGGAACCAGTTCAGACTGATCAAGAATACTATCTGGCATCCAACAGGAATGACTTGTATCATTGATATAAGAATAAAACTTGTGCACTGTGGTAGAGTTTAATTCCATTATGGGTAAATTATTATTTTGATAGAGTCTCACAGTGTTGTTATACAGTAATGTTTACTGATGACGTTTCGAGCACAATTTATTGCTCATAATCATATCAAGGTAATCACACGACTTCCTAAATTCATTTATATAGTTCCATTGTTTTTCACTTGATTTTCACTTGATTTGATTGGTAGTAATATTTTCCATATTTCGGGTATGAGTGATGAATCATTCCTATTGCATGTGTTGGGTGTAGATTCGACGAACAAAGATTCAGTAATCAACCTCTCTCTCCACCTATCTAGATTACTTTTTAGAATTTTAGCCCTCTCCCACCCTATTGTGTGGTTGTGTGCTAATGCATGCATTGCAATTGCTGAGCTTTTTTCTAAATTACTTATCTCCTCTGGGTCAACCATTCTTACCTTAGCTAAATTCTTATGTTCTGATCATCTGACTACCCCTGGCCTACTAGTTTGACCTATGTAGTTGACCTCACGGTCATTGCAGGGTATTTTGTAAATTATATTATTTTGTCTAATTGGGTTAACTGGGTCCTTTAACCTACAGAGCGTGTCCCTGGGTGACCAAGTTAACCCAATTAGACAAAATAATATAATTTACAAAATACCCTGCAATGACCGTGAGGTCAACTACATAGGTCAAACTAGTAGGCCAGGGGTAGTCAGATGATCAGAACATAAGAATTTAGCTAAGGTAAGAATGGTTGACCCAGAGGAGATAAGTAATTTAGAAAAAAGCTCAGCAATTGCAATGCATGCATTAGCACACAACCACACAATAGGGTGGGAGAGGGCTAAAATTCTAAAAAGTAATCTAGATAGGTGGAGAGAGAGGTTGATTACTGAATCTTTGTTCGTCGAATCTACACCCAACACATGCAATAGGAATGATTCATCACTCATACCCGAAATATGGAAAATATTACTACCAATCAAATCAAGTGAAAATCAAGTGAAAAACAATGGAACTATATAAATGAATTTAGGAAGTCGTGTGATTACCTTGATATGATTATGAGCAATAAATTGTGCTCGAAACGTCATCAGTAAATATTACTGCATAACACTGTGAGACTTTATCAAATTAAAGGAATGACTTGTGCTCTTCCTGAATTAGCTTTTAATCACGTGTTGGCATTGCACTTACCCAAATATACGCTGTTCACTTGTTGACCATAACTATCAGTAAGAAACGGAACGAAGTTTGGGTAGGCGCTTGCATGAACCTTTTCTGATCGCTTGAACTATAATTCAACAATTTAAACTTTTGAAAATGTATTAATTGACGATAATTCACGATTGTAATTTATGACATAACTGATCGTGTCCATAAAAGTGGCATGCATTTCTTGTAAACTTACCGTCTTTTACGAAATATGAATTATTATTGTTATTATAGAAGAGGAACCTGCAAGGGCGTTTCACTCTACGGAAAAGTTGTCGTCGGAGTGGTTTATAGAATAAACTCACCGGAATTGTCAAACTTCTCCAGTGTCCTATGATTAAGAGACACAACCTAGATAAGGAAGCTTGATACGTCACTGAGCGGTCGAATAAAACCATTTAAAGGGTGAAAAAGGACTCTCGAGTGCTGAACCTTAGTAGGCCTTCGTTATTCTTTGGCAAGTGGGGCATCGAGAGACTACGTACGGTGACAGAACCCATGGTTACGGGATGTATTAGGGGGAGATATTTGTCGAACACTTTGACGAGGATGATTCAAGGAATATGTGCTGGCCATGTAAGGGAAAGGGCGAAAGTCGAGTGCCATTCTGAAACTCAAAAGTCGTTGACATTGCATACATTTAATCTTAGTTTCGGGGCTTATGTGGGTTTATAAACAGTATTAAGAAGGACTCACGAAAAAACATAGGGCTGAACACTGCACAAGGGCACTTATAGGTGGTTAGTGATTAATGAATACGGAAAGATAGTTAATGACTGAGAATAATGAATCAGTTTGGGTGTTGTGGCGATAGAATAAATACCTCTTCCATGGATATTTGGATATATTTACTTCATTTGGCTAGAAGACAATCTTTTTGCCAAGAAAGTTCTCAGGACGTCCGCTCTTTGTAATTAAAAGTGACTCACTAAGATAGCGGCCTCAGGAGATAACCTTCTGCCGGGACTATTTTAAAGCAGCTAGGTAGCTTTAAATAATGCGTCATAGAACTAAGCAGCGTACGTCGATTTTGTCTCAATATATTAGACGTTGTATAACCGGTCAAATCGTAGTACTCACATTCTTTACTAGGTAGTCTTATGAGTAATGAATGTACAGTACAGGCGTTTTCTTTGATTTATATACCTAGCTCATAAAAAATTATGCCTACATGTCATGTACATTTAAGACTGATACGCTGTGTGATGAGTTCTGTAAAAGTCCCAAAGAAGTATTGATTGTGAGTATATTAAACATCTCATTAATTTAAGAAAGAAATTCTGATGAAGGGTATTAGCGTTAGTCTGACCGGCTGGTATTCTTGCTGGTTTCATATTCGACAACCTCCATGTACCTAAAAATATCAGTTGTATGTAGGGAATAACACAGCATGAAGTTATAAAAGCTAATTTTACATATTAGCTTACAGAGTTGACATACTGATTCCATTAATACTAAGTAAAATTCTCAAGCGAAATAAAAGTATTTGTAGTCCACAGTCGATTTTACATTGATGCCATCTGTATAAACAGACCTTATATGTTTTCCAGTAATAAAAGGATTATATGCAAATTTCAAGACAAAACCCGTACTTTTACGGCTTTGTTCTCTCATCAAGATTACCTGCAGAGTAACTTCACACTAATTACTCTTACTTTAAAAGAAGTGTTGCAGATACGTAACTTGGAAATCGGTCCACAATCTCAGTAATACCTTGTGAACACAGTTTTGGGAATCTTACGGAAACAACACTGCACAACATAGAGAAATACTTAAAATGTAAGATACACATAGTATTGTGTTAATGAGGATGGCAATGCCACCTAATACAGCTTACTAGGTTAAGTTCTCATAATGGTCACAATTAATGTGCATTATAATACCACATAATGAACTGATGCATTAGGTGAGGAATATTAAATGAGTAATTACCTCCACTGCACTGCACTTGCAAAAGTCATGAGAAACACCCACATCTGTTAGCCTAGCAGTCAGCTAAGCGGACAATGGAATAACATTAATTAAGTTGAGATATTTTTTTAGACATTTAATCCTCATAACCCATATGATACTGCACCATTCGGTGCAACTGTAAATTAAATCCACTTATAGATGACCTTTCAACTTACGATAATTCCTGTCCAAACACATATACGATGAGGAATGCATTTACATCATGACTTCTTTTTTCATAGAAGGTTCTGTTAGCCTTTGTAGTTGGATTCCGTGTACTGATAGCATTCACTTGTCAAATAGTACTGTTCTTCACACAAAAATAGGCTGCAGTGATATCCCGAAATATGAGATCTTCATTGAATGACACTAGGGCAAAAACTGCAGCTTCATTCCAGAAAACGTATAACACTATTTCATTAAAAATTGTTCACAAAAGAATTTATCAAGCGAAGTTTCAACCAACGTGCCGGATAAGTTCAGTCTTAAGGTTGATGTCAAACAAAGATGCATGAATAACCCAATGTGCCATAATACTATGTCATATCATAAGATAGCTTGACCATACTTTCGCCAGTAACACGGGTAAGTGCGATTAAAGATTAAATATCATTACAAGTGTAGATTACCACTCCTGTGAAACCACTCACATGTACAATAGCTTAATCATCATATTAACTTCCAACATAGAAAATGTGAGTGGATGAGCAATAAATGAAATGGACTAATTTGCGTATGAAACGACAGGCTTTGTTAAAAGAAAATGGATTATGTGAGATTCAACTATCTGACCTTTTTTAAATAACTGATGTCATCCATTGGGTTGAATGACACTATTGGACACATTGAGAAGTTGTGACCTCTTCAAGTTGACCTTTAAAGACTCAAACCGATGTTGGTTTCACGCATCTTGCTGGATTCTGGGCGTAATGATAGGTGACAACATTGGATTACAAACCTCCCTATGCTGCAAAATATAAGCCTATTAAGACTGTTGCTTTCACTGATAATATCGTGTATAAACTTCTGGCCGTTGCAGTTGTCACTTCAATCCTCATTACCACCAAGAAAAAACGTCACTTATCAGTTCCATGCTGGTGCAGACATCCATTTGAAATGCGGGGAAGACTTAGAGCCTACACTTGTAATTTGGCGCGATCCGCTCAATAAAACTACTTCTAAACGAACTTTAATGCTAATGAATGTCACAGTTGCACAGTCCGGTGAATACTACTGCCAGCTATACCATAATAAAGACATGGAATTTCATCAGTCGACTTTTGTTCTGATACAAGGTAGGAAATTTGATCTCACCACTTTTAAATAATCTCATTACTTTAAGATAAACCATCTCACCCCATTTTAATACATGCACAGGCGTTATCGGAAAGTTCATTGAATGTTTCTTGGACTGCTGGAGCCAATCAAAACAGTCCTATCTCACTTCATTCTGTTTACCTCCACGATGAGTAAGTATTTTTGCCGTTATGTACCGTAATTTCTAGTTTTCTTAATTACTACGTGATGATTTTGATTATTTTCTTGCTAATTAACTTAATGGATAAAGAAATAGCATGTAGTTTTTGTGCTTCAGCCCATGGCAGTGTTAACTACACCCATGAACTCAGAATTAGGCTCTCTTGCTACGTTATTTATCAAGTATTCCTAAGCTCTTCATGCTGCTTAGTCTGAAGTGTAGCAGTAATTAGAGTTGCATTAACTACCATGTTGATTACTGTCATTTCATGTTGAGTCAGTAGTAAAAAACGGTTTTCTGATTTGATTGGTGCAAATTTCCTTGATATTTCATAAATGCTTATTATCTCCCATGGCATTCGTTCTGATATATCACCACTAAAATTTCGGTTATTGTTTGGGTGTGAGAACGATATCTGTGCTCTGGATTAGTTTTCGTAACATTCTCTGAAAAACTGGTGAATATTTAAAGAATGTAAGAAAAATATTACCATGATAATGAGTACATTATAAGCAGCACTTACGTATTCTACCCCCTTCCTATCAATTCAGATATTTTGCTAAGGCTTGCATTACTCCTCTGTTTCACTCCTAAGTATTCAAAACAGTTGGCTTACACGTCCACCTATTTCTAAGCGGAGGAAACTTCAGTTAGACTATCCATCCTTCCAAAGAATGAGGGTAACTGTGTAACTTGATATTAAATAAGCAAGTAAACTCACTCAGCAATAGCAGTTATAGTACATCTAGTGACATTGTTACATCTGCGAAATTGTCTGAAACTGACTTCACTTTACTGTGTCATCTTTTTTATTGAAGGAATGGTTTGGTGTTACAGAAGAACGTTTCGTTTCCACTATCTGGTACAACACTTCATAATTTAAAACCGTATACTTGCTATACTTTGTTTATCCGTGCTTTGAACGATGTTGGGTGGAGTGACTTCAGTAATCCCGAACATTTATTAACTCTTCCTGGTTTGCCTGTTGCACATCCAACAGTCCATGTGATCAATGTGTCGAGTCATTCCATTTTCATAGGCGTTGAAAACACAAATCTTAAAGGAGTAAACCCGGATAATGCCAAAAGATGTTCAAGCCAGGATACTCGATTCGCAACGTCTCTTCTTGGTCCTTTAACAGCCTATACTGTCACAGTTGCCACTATGCAGCCCTATAAACTTATTTCAAAGGAGCAACATCATGCATCTACATCTTATCCACAGGTAAAGTTGCTTTTTTCAGGATTAATATTTTGTAATAATATCGTTACAATGAAACGTTTTATGTAATCTCACTGTTTTAGGCATTGATAGTTCTACAATTTCGTACTCCTTTTGTTGTACTCGTGAACACTTCAAGCATTCCTCAACAATGCTGTGTGGATGCCCATCTAAAAAGTTACTTTTACTCAGAGGTATCTGGGATGCGTTTTACGCATTCAAGCTACTGTCTTAACGAGTGATGTTGGACTAGTTTGCAAAGGATAGAGGTGGTCAGATCAAGAGATCGTAACAACTCATTTAGTCATTAATTCTTGATCCTATCCTGGTTGTTAAGAACCAGAGGTTGAAGACTCTTGGCTATATAACTAAATCAGTTCACTGCTTGCCATCTTTCGGATTTTAGAGAGCTTTACCGTTGTTAGTTGAACTACATTTAATTATTCTCCCTTCACACCTTCGTCCGCTGATGTTTCAGTAGACTTTTTTCTTCACTTTCATTTGTGTTCTCTTGACGTGTGGCATCTTAAACTGATGCGCGTTTGTTCAGAGTTTTATGTCTAAAGGTCAGTCAGTCAGCTCCATCCTTTGATAATTAGTAACTAGCAAAGTCTCAACATGTATGTGAAGAAAATTGCTAACATTCTCTAATTTGTCACTTATAGTTTCGGCAATATGTTCAGTCGCTCGTCAAACGTTATGTTTCACCCAGCGATACACTAATCTATAGCAGTATTACTATTATCATTATTATTACTACCAGTTGATCACGGATTGATATCAGTTAGAGAACCATTGAAAAACTGATATCAATCCGTGATCAACTCGTAAAAACAAATCTAATCCTTACAAACTAACTATTGAAAATTATTATCATTGGTGAATGAGAGCAGATTCGACGAAACTTCGGATATTTAACCACCACTACTCTCTTTGTAACTCCTTGGCATAGTGAAACCAATCTTAACCGTTGGGGTTGCGTGTCGAGGTGTGAACCATATGACCGTGTTAGATGAAGAAACTGATAGACTATTTCCTGAAGATAAAAATTAATTTAGGAATGTTTGGGACTTGTCCCTCTTTATGAAATGGTGTATTTTCACAAAAGGAAGCAAAGTAGGTAAATGTTCTAACCAACTCACTTTTTAGTGTGGTGTGAATTTATGCACAAATGTAAAATGTTCGTTTGATTTCGCCAGCTTACACCACTTCCTGCATATGGGATATCTAAACACGATATATCGCCTAATGCTACAGTTCTGTCTCCTACTACTCATATTACGTCACTTTGATTGTGTGGCTCATATAGCGGCATGAACCGGTGAAAAATGATACCCAAGCCTTATGTTGATAGTTGACTGGCATAGCATTCTAATTATTATAGTGCGGCCGCCTTATGATACTGCGTCAGTAGTGAAAGTCGGAAAAATTGACAATTGTTTCTAACTGTACATTTGTTAGTCTAGACTTCTATGCTCTAAATACTTGATCATTTTAGGTTTTAGTCATATCACCTCTGAATCCATTCACACGATACAATCTGTCTTTCGCTTTTTACAATGGTCGTTTCGTGGGCCCGTCTTCTTCACTTGTCGTTTCAACAACAGAAGGAATTCCAGATAAACCCAAAATAATAAATTCAAGGAGTTCATCAAATTCAGTGGTAATCAACTGGGAGAATGAAACTGTTACCGTTGGAAAAATAATTGCTTATAAAGTAGAGGTAAGTTATGTTTATTGCTTATATGATTAACTCTTCGATTTATATAAGTTTATCAAATCATTCTTGTCCTAGTTGACATTTCCATTGGTATATCAAAAGCTAAAAGTATACAAATCAATCCAGGTTACCATCACTTCTGATTTGATATTCACCTTACAGTTAAACTGAGTGTACCACATTTTGAATCAGTGAGTTGTATCTTCGAACACCGTCTGGTTAGACGAAATGTAAGAGTGATCAGTGTATAATGTAGTAGAGTGAATTAAAGAATAATGTTTTTCGAATTTTCTTCACCTTCCACTCTCTGAAACAATTAGTAACTCGAAAAATTCTCAGTTTTGGCTTAAAAATCAAAACTTGTTAATCACACTAAAGTTTTTTCTGACCATATTGTTATTCTCTAATTCTTTTCCTTTCATAATGCTCCATTTTGTGTGACATCTTTCTATGCCTATGTTATTGCATTTTTCAAATCTGTTTTCATCAAACTACAGAATAAATAGTTTGAAAAGAAAAGTCTCTCCCGAACCAATGAATGGTAGTAAACAAAACTATCGCTATGTGTCCACTTTTGTTGCAGATTAACACAGTTTTTCGGCAGCTAGAAGCTAGAAGCGTAAACTTAATTGTAAACCGGTTTTGGATGATGAGAACACAGACACGGTTTAACGTAATGCTGGACCGGCTGCTGTATATTCTGGTGACGGTAGGCATAGTAGACAACTGTAGTTGCAAGTCATTTGAGATGATGCTGTGGGAGGGCTTACGAAATATTTTTAATGTTTAGACACTACCAATGTAGACTGGGAAAGAAAAAGTAATACAGATGAAACCATAGAGTCGATATATATATATATATATATAATCAGTCTCAATAGCTCAGATCACTGCCTGTCCATTTTTGTTAATTTATGACTTTTCACTTACCTTAATTTTGTTCCCCTCATTCTATTCTTCTGATAGCTGTAGTTAAATTAATACACTTATGTATGATTTCGGTCACATTATTATGTTTATTCGTCCTGGTAATCGTTAATTTGGCGAGTTTCATCATCAGTAAATAATAAATTGAACTTGAGTTTTACTACAAGCTGTATATCCAGAAGATTTGTGTTCTCCTCATTTATTAGTTTTATCTGTCTTTGGTTTTATCAGCTACATACATGTCCTGGGAATGACACTGTGATATCAAAGAGGTTGAAAGCTGTTCAGCTGAATGCAACATCTCAACACTTTGCATTTGAAAATCTGGATCCCAGCACGTGTTATGTTGTTCACTTAGCGTCTGCTACAAAAGCCGGGTTCAGCACTTTCAGCAAAATTGAAGTTCAAACAGAATCAAACGGTTAGTTTCTTGCTTCCAACTCACTCATTGACATGCTTGTTAAATATATCCCTTTCTTGTCCTGATAATAATTTTTTTGAAGGAATATTTACCTCACTATTCAAAGTCTTAGGAAGAATATCTTAATTGTATGAAGAGCAAGGGATTACAAATGAAAAGTTCGCTTCATTGTGTGGTAGTGCAACCTAACCTCATAGAATTCAGCAGCACTCTTGTTGAATAAAGTTGTACGTCTATAAGCTGTGTACTTAATTTAAGGTTTACACTCATCTTGTTTTAGTAGAGCTGTGGTTCTGAGGTCCAGGTGTTCGGTTTCCAACTTCTCTATCACGGGTTCCAATCCCACTTTACCTACTGAGGTTTAGACAGCCAGGTAGTATCACTAGCTCACTCAAACTAAAGGTTTGGCTCTTTGCCAACTGTGACGGAATTGTGAATGTGAAAAAATTTCATTTCAAAATAGAATGGCCCAATCAGAATTTTGTTTTGTTAAATTTAGCAGTACCTCCTGTTATGGATTAGATTCATCGTGGAAATCCATTAAATCCAGCAATTAACTGTCAAATCCTATGGAAACCCATTTTTTTTGACAAGAATTTTAAACTAACGTTTTAGTGCATAGACAAGGGATTGTTTCAAGTAAATAAGTACGGTTCGTGGTTTTAATGAATTGTACTTGTTGCCTAAGACTATATCTTCCTACACTCCTATTTCAGTCTAATTACTTAACATTTAGTGCGTAAAGGTAATACGCCGCCTTTATAATGCTATAAACTACCATTTACCTTATAGCTCCATCACCACCTTTTGTTGTGGGCGCTTCTTTTTTGGAAACAAACGAGATTCTGGTCAACTGGACATGTACAAACGAATGTTCGTCGGTTTTAAAAAACCCAAGATTTTCAGTGTGCTGGTATTTTCACTTGTTTCCTTCTGAAAAAAAGTGTCTACCCACTCAAACATCAAATAAAATGAAATCGGCCTATTGTTATTGTGATGAACAAGAAAAATTTCAATGGGTAAGTAAAACAGAATTAATATGTTTTTTGATTAATTTGGGGATATATTTTATTATTATTATTCCCTCGCGTTCCGAGTGGAACATAGGGCTTCAGCAACACGTATCCGCTTTGCTGTTGTCTGCCGTCCTCTTCATCTGGGTCCACGATTGCCCAAACTCTCTCATCTCTTCTTTACACAATCTCCTCCATATCACCCTAGGACGACCCACTCGTCGCTTCCCGTTGGGAATCCAATGGGAAGTTAATGAACTTAAACTTGCGTCGTCCTCTGGAAATGCTGTCATATGGCCACACGTTCATAGCCTCTACCAAGTAAATCCTATTCACTGCCTTCACTCAGTGGGGGTGTTCCTCACAAAGTGAAAGGGCGAATGTGAACGTGTGGCGCTTACAACCGTGCTGGTTGACGTGGTGGTCTACCTAAGGTAACTGGAGAACTCTGATTCCAAACCTATGGTGTACATTGTCTCCGGAATGGATTGAATGGCGTATGAACCTGTCTTGGTTATCTGAGACCACGCTAACGTGTGGCTCCTGACGCTTCTCCACTGCCTTGTGGATCAAACACGAAGTCAGTGGCTTAGGGAATAGAGTGGTCCCTAAAGGACTGAACTGGTTCCAACATAGAACTTTACACAGATGGGCGGCAGTTCGAGTTGCCACACTCCATGTAGCACACAAAGCAAGAGTAAAGAGAGATTAAAAAGAGAGATAATAAACAGAAGCGTGAAGGAAAAAGAATAGTAATATGGAAGAATAATAGAGCTCTATTGGACACTATAAGTCACAACGAGTGGATGCATCTGCGCCATAATCGAGAACGATTTTCAGCCAATTCACCATTTGTCTCTAGACTTCATTGGTTTTTACCATACTGAGGACCCCAACCAGTCAGGAAGTTTTCATCTCCCTGCGTTACTGACTTAAACTAACTGTTCTGAATTTCATTGACTGATTAAAGCCAAGTTTTGTTTTGGCCACCACTAGCTAACTCTTTTCCAACCTGATCTATCCTATGTCAGCTAACATTGCCCGTCGGTCGAGGAAGGTGATGGCTAGACATACTTACGTAAAACATGTCCTAACCATCTCAATTGATGTAACTCCACAACCTCGTCGATTGACTTCCCCTCCTTACCTATCCTAGCACTTGACGCCTAACCTCAATATTGTTGACTCTATAATACCACCTAACACGGGAGATAAAATGCCGGCACCTATAATGAAAGACGGCTAGCCTTTTCATGATGTCTTCCACTTTCAATGGCCATGTCTCACAGCCATAGGTCCCTTAAGACAACCATTGGCTTCTATCTAAGCGTCTTAGCAGTGTCCCAGCTCTAGCACAAGCTATGAGATTTTGTGTGGTGCATCTCTTTGTGCCCATAATGTACCGAATTTATGCCTTGATAAATAAATAAACAGTGAACGTTGGCTGCTTCTGTAGTTTATTTCACTGTCTCTTTTTGTGGTATATGTGCTAAATTTCCCAGCAGCAATTGCATTCGAAATATTGAGGGTACTTCTAGACTGTTTCTACTGTGATAAATGAAGTGAAATTTGAAAAATATGGCCTAATAAATTATCGTTTAGAATGTGTACATCTCTCGACCTGGTGTTCGGACGTATCATTTGCTTCACTCTTAGTGGTACTTATGGAACTCTCAGACCTAGTATGGTCACAAGACACTTCAACTCGGCATTCTCTATATAAACGCAACAAGTAGAAGTAATCATGACTAAAAGCATTGAAATAAGTGGTATCATGGCGAAATAGAATAAATGAAATACTTTATTGAATTTGATGATTCGGTAGGCGATCTATTACACTAAATTGACAAATTGAGTTTAAACTTCTGTTTGACCAGTATCCAATTTCTGATATTTTACTGAAGATACAATCTGAGAAACATTTGTATCATCAGTGAATTGTGAATAGTGAATCATTTTACTGAAAGTCACTTATGATGGCTCCATGGTAAGAAGTCTACACAAGAAGTCACGCAAATAATGATTAGTGACGTCATGAAATGATTCTGATTTTCTTATCGGTGTGGTCACTTTTGGTTATTCCCCAACCTGTTTGTATTCAAGTTAACAAATTGTTTTAAGGTTAACGATAGACAGGCACGCGTTTTAACGTGCGTTTCTAACACCTCAGTCAATGAATGTTCGCCATGTGACACCCTTGCTTTATTCAATATCGCACAAAGATAACAGTAGTAAGATTTATGTAGCCTTCCAAAAATCTCACATTTTCGACGACTTCTGGTTTATTATTTGAATGTATGCTTTTTTCCAAGATGGGGAAGTTTACCCTCTGCAACGAGCTACCATACTGCGTCCTCCTATCTAGAATGAGTTTGAAAATTAGCAAGATTTTTCTTCAATAGTATACTAAAGATTATGTGTGAACTTGCAAACCAACACTGGAAAATTAGTGTGATGCTCCCCAGCGACTGGCTGTATACAGTAAATTACCTGGAGTTCTAGTTAGCAGTCGTCACCAGTGAGGTCCACCAAGTTAAGAGGACATTTACTCACCGAAGACATTAGTTGGCGGTTGCGCTATATGCATTGCGAATTGCCAAAAGTTGGAATTCATGGGCCCCCGTTGCACCAGGTCGGAATGGCTGAATGGTCTACAAGCTTGCCGTATAACTGGAAGTTCCTGGGTTAGAACTCCGGTGGGTGGGTATTGATGAAGAGTTCTAAACCAGGAAAAAACAGCTGTCGACTACCCCGTAGTTTTCCAGTGAATCTCTAACTGACGTTACCTGTTAATATGTGAGTGGCTTCTGCATTTACTCAAAGGCTTTTGTTGCTTAAGGGATGTAGTTCTATTAGTGAGTGGCATTATACATCATGTAATGTATGCAATGCTGGCGCGGTTCCTTCTTTACACAGCTATTGTTTATTATTCCTTTATAGGTATTCAAATAGGTATGAATTGGATATTTTGATTTAACTTCTATTGATTAATAATAATCACAATCTTGCTCATGCTTTATACACTAATGAAGAGAATGACTACAAATCACTTTCAGCTTTTTAAATCGTATGGCATATATTTCAAACCTTAAAATATTCCAATTATTAATATTAGAACAAGACATATTAGCGAAGAATATTATTTTTAATTACATATTCTTCAGGCTTTACTGTAACTTACATATCTTTATATATAAAAAATTTAACGAATGACGGTGAGCTTGTGTACAGTACTAAAAATGTATTCAATCATTTTCAACATCAGTAATAACGATGATTATAATGATAACGAAAATAATCATAATAAGGTTTATGCAGATTGCCATGAGAATAACGAAGGTAGTAATATATCTGTATATGTAGACAATTCAATAAATTAATTAGGTCAAATCTTAAGAGTTACGTAATATTAAGGGTGAAGTGGACAGATAATCAGGGCTTAAATAAATATAAAGGTACGAAGGAAATGGAAAATAAGAAATGGTGAGAAGTCTTAAAAAAATTAGAATTGGGCCTAATGGAGAATCCGTTACAATAACACCGATTAGTTTCTATTTAAAGGTTGTTGAATGTGAATTGTACAGACAAATGGACGTTATTGCCTTGGATTCTCCATTGGGCCAGATTTTGGCAGATTTCTTTCTTGCTAAGTGTGGAAATGGTCCGGTGAAACAAGTAATAAATGAAATGGATTCTTATTTTCGTTATGTTGGTCGTATGTTTATTATTCTTGATGGGAAAGCTGACAAGAATGAAATGTTAATAAAATTTAATGATGCACATCCATCGCTCACCTTCACTTGTGAAGAAGAACACGATGATAGACTACACTTCCTTGATGTTCAGTCGAGCAGAAGAGAGGATGGTTAACTGAAGAGAGATGTCTATAGAAAACCTACGTCTGTAAGACAGTACACGCATTCCTTCAGTTTTCTACTAATCCGATACAAAATCAATTCGCTCAGATGCCTCACGAATGGTGCAAGAAGGATCTGTAGCGATGACTCCCTAGAAAATGAAATGGGATACATGCAAAATACGCTGGTCCAAATGGGTTATCATAGTAGATTTGTAAGAAGAAACATGAATACCATGTATACTAAAGAGAAATCGACAACGGTTACAAAGAAACAACTGTTACTGCAACTGCAATTCAATGAGGACGTGTAAGATTATCTAGACCCATTAAACGGACTTATACTGCCACCACCCTTTGTTTTTCATTTTTCAGCAGACCAATTATGATTGTTCAAGCGAAAGGTAAACTGCCTAGCTGTTCCACTTCCATGTGCATTTACGAATCTATGTAGGGCGAAAAACTAAACAGCTCAATGAACGCATCATTACTGAGCATCTTCCTTCACAGTTCGAAAAAGGCCAAATAAAATCCATTAGAAGTTCTATTTTGTCCCATTTGATTGATAGCGGTCACCAACAACTGGACAGAAGAAGTGCGCATTCAAAGTTATCTATTGCATTCCATCGAACCTTCTGAACGAAATTCGAACCCACCTTTTACACACAGCCGAAACTAAAGGAATTAATTCGAGGGAACAATCCTAGTCTTTGCATGCAACGAAAGAAGTTTGTTCTACCTTTGTCTCTCCCTTGGCCTAGGTGAATTCTAATTCAAGAAACCTCCCAGCCTTTCTTATTCTCCATTTCCATTTTACCTTTATGATATTTACTTAAGCTCCAATTATCTGTCCACTTCATCTTGAGTATTACACAACTCTTCAGATTTGACCTAATTTATTTATTGAATATACACACACATTACTACCTTCGTTATTCTCATGGTGACCTGCATAAACCTTATTATGATTATTTTCGTTATCATTGTAATCATCGTTATTACTGATGTTGAAAAGATTGAATACATTTTTAGTACTGTAATTTGATCCACAAGCTCGCCATCATTGGCATATATTTAGCATAGTGGTTTGTGCTTTCACTCTGAGAATTAGTTTGGTCTTTGATCTCGGTTAACAGAATGTTTGTAGATGTTTATTTAGTAGCGTTTTTTTAAATAATGAAGCGATTTCGAGTTAGGAGTCAAGTTGTTTGTAGGATATTTGCGAATTTCGATAACTGATATGCACTAATGTATATATATATATATATATATATTGTTAGCGTTATCTCATCAACTAATTATTCCACTGTCATAATCAGAGTGTTACTTTGGTGGTTCACTAGTAGAATATTTGCCAACTAAGCGGAGTGGTCCAGGCTTCGATCACTGACCAACGTACGGCTAAACCTCGCTTAGCCGGTAGTAAGCCAGGTAAAGCGGCAAGGTTGGGCTTAAGGCTAGCAAACCTGTACTGTAAAAAACGCGCACCACTGTTGCTAAAACTTCAAAGTTTGAAAAGCTTGACACCATACATCGTTCCCTTTGGTACACGAAGGAATAACACAAAATAATAATAATTAGTGTGTTAATTGAATGTAATACCTATTTTTATTATTTTTTTTTCAGACGACTTTCCCATCATCTTCTATTTTTGATGAAGCGAAATCTGGTCGAATAATTTTCACTGTTCGCTCAAGTATTCCAAGAATAAATTGTGCTGATTACCAGCAAGACTGTGAAATTCAAAGTGATGACTCCAATATAGTCATTTTAGATCTTTTATGTAAGTGGCGTTCCCCCCGCCCCACCCCCACTGATGATATAGAAATACATTCGCATTTCTATTGATTTCATACAACAACAGTCAAAGGATTATATGGAATCATAATTTCATAATCTTTTCCTCTTCTTCTTCTTCAATTTAGCTTCCCCGTCACATCGACGTCTTCAGACTACACGAAAGTATGATTTCAATGTTACAATCGCGGCAATAGTATCTTTTACACTGCTGATTTTCTTCTGTGTGATAATTGCAGCTTGTTTTGCAAAGTGAGTAGTATTCTTGCTATTTTTTGTTGTCCTAATCTAATCACCATTCTAATACGTATTGTTTTCCTTAAAATTTTTTTGATTTTTCCTCTTTTGTAGTCGAGTGCATTGTTTCACTGTCATGTGTCTGACTGGGGCTTCGTGTTATCGTAAAGCAGATGTACCAGCTAAATATCGTCGTGTAACACCATTTCGTTTGAGTAAAACTAATCATAAGGCAATTTCAAGCGCAGAATTTCGTGACCACGTTAACACTTGTCATGCTGATGATGATGCTGGATTTCAAGCTGAATTTGAAGTAAGTTTTTCTTCTTCTTGTTGTTGCCTTTGTTATCACTCCATAATGGTGTTGTCCTCTGTGTACTATGGGTATAAAATTTCAAAAAAGAGGGGTTGCTAATATGTATGGATATTGTGATATATGAGAAGTAATCAGATTGACTGATTATTACCTAGTTCGTTAATTATATTTTAAAGGTAGGTTTTTCACACACTTATTGCTCTCTCTGAATTTTAATAAAGCGTAAAGAATACGATGATATCGTCACTTATTCCGTCAGTTTCTTGTCAACCGCATACATTCTGACAAACATTAAATCAGATTCTCAATTTGCACAACTGGAGGGGTGGAATTCCATCACAGTTTCCCTTTGGAAACGAAAACTATTCAGATCACCACAATGAGTAGTTGTATACCACCAGTTCTCCGAAGTGTTACTAGACAGAAATCGGATGATTTGAAGTGATTCTGTTCTCGGCTGATGAACTCTACTCCAAACGGGTGAAACGGCCGTCCGGTGTGTGGATCACTTCGATAATCTGGCTAGCAAGCGCTATTGGTTGATTTAGGTGGTGAACAACTACTCATATCAATCAATCAGTAGTATATATAGTTCAATGCATACCTAAAACATTGTTTATCAAAATATGTTCAAAGAGATTTTTTAAATGCACTTGCAACGGCAACACAGTATCAGTTAAAACAAGGGACGCCAAAAATAGCAAAAAGTGCTCGAAATTTACACTTATATAACTTTTACGCGAAAGGTTCACTTCAATTTTTGGTTTTATTTTAAATTTTGATACTTTGAAAAAGAAGTTGCATAATAAAGGCAAGAGATAGATATAGGTTGGTGATAAGTAGCTAACAAGTTGCTTTATAATGTGACGAGTTCAATTCAAATAATAGAAACAGACATAAAGAAACAGATTGTTATATACCCGAATAGAATAGGTTAAAGCATAAGATTATACTATTAAATAAAACGAAGAATTAGGAAATTGAGTTACCCAAGCAAAGAAAGACTATTAGCGGCTTCTCTCTGGAGGCAAATCGGGTTTTAGAGCAAACTTTATGTATGTAAGTTACATAAGTATGACTTCTGAACACATTTTACTAGTTTTAGGGTTTCCTGTTGTTAAGTGACATCGTGTTGCTCTTTTTAAGTAAGGTAAAATATTTCCCTGAACATGAACATTCGACTGACGACAAACCTTTTGTTTTTGCTTTATTCAAAGATAGGGCCTTCTTAGATGACCTGGTACTGCTGATGATGGGTAGACTTCGGTCGTCCCCTCGAAATGCTGTCATGTGGCCACAATTGCGTAGCCTGTGTCATGTAAGTCCTAATCACTGCCTTCATGCAAAAGTGAAAGGGAGAATGTGAACGTGTGGAGCTTACTACCGGACTGGTGAACCTAAGGTAGCTGGAAAACCCTGATTCCAGACTTATGGTGTACATTGTCTGCGGAATCCGGACGGATCGAATAGGGGTATGGACGCCTTTCTGTCACCAAAAACCATGGGAACGGATATCCTGTCGCTGCTCGATTGCTATCTGGATGGAACTTGTAGTAAAAGGATTAGGGGGTGGAGTGGTCCTTTAAGACATCCACCTGGTTTGATTTGTTCGTCGGAGCAGCAATACGGCTGTCACACAATCTATGATATTATGTATGGCTAATCTCTTTATGTCTATAATGTACCCAGTCGGTTTTATTAATAATAATAATAGCTTAGAGGTAGATGTCGTTTGTTGGTTAGGGAAAAAATGTTTACTATCCTTCAGATTACGTAACCAACTTTTATCACCAATCATTTAAGGTAAAACTGGTCAACGCATAGAAATTATCACTGTCATTGTAGTTTGACAAACCATTCGTCTGATAGTCTTTGATTTCTGTCCAAAAATTCGCATTACTATCTCTGTTATTACCAGTATCTTCTAGTGTTTTTCCTCCATTTTGTAAATTACAGTCGTTGGAGCAGAATGTTCAAAATGATTGGCCAACATCTGTTGCTCGATCCCCAGAGAATATTGCGAAAAATCGATATTCCAACATCTTGGCTTGTAAGTTTTATATTTCCTTTAACCAATGTGTACATATTACAGGGCGTTGGTGGCTCAGCGGTAGAATGCTTGCCAACCACCCAGGTGGTTCGGGATTCGATCCCAGGTCGACACAATCCTTTACCTCGCTAAGCCAGAAATAAGACTGGTAAAAAGGGAAGGTTGGTCATGAGGCTAGCAACCAAATCCTGTAAAAATAAATACCACTGCTACCGAAACTTCCAAGCTCTAGCCTGAATCCCTATGTCCCACTGGGGATGTAAACGAATAAAATAAATAATATACTACAGTATTCTTTGATTTGGAAATTATGGCGTGAGCCTCACTCACATTTAATATTCCTTGACGTTTAAGAATGATATAAAGTATAGTCTGTAGGTTTACTGATGGTTCTTCAAATCTTGCCATTAAGTTTTCAGAGATAGGAAGAGAATTTATCATGTAGCACATAATTTCGAAAATTTCTGCTAATATTAATTAGTATTAGTATCCGTTGGTTATAGAAATCAACTGATTCGTTTTTTGTGAGTAACACATCCCAGTATATGACACGTAAAAGCCTACTTTAGTTGATAACTAGGAAGTAGCCGACATCAATTTTCTTCCCGTTTGTATTGGTTGGTGCCGATTGGATTCTATCAGTCAGGTTTGCAATGCGGTCACCAAGCCAGGTGACTACTGGCATCTCAGTATACTCCTAATATGTTATTAATTGGTTGGAGACATTCAGCAGAAAGCTTTGAACCTAGGTTTTGTTCTTGTTGGCACTCGTCAGGAAGATATTTATGTGCAACCTCGGATGAATTGATTTTTCTTCGGAGATTCAAACCCGCCTCATTAAGTTATGCAGTCAGAGACGTTACTACCAAGCTATTAGGGTTTATGATTGATCCCATGTAGGAGTGTAATGGTTACACTGATTGGTCGTCACCAGAGAGAAATCAGTGGAATTGAATTTTTCTTATACAGTTTCAGCTTGAAATCACTGTTTTGTAAAGAAATATTGTGTATTATGCAGGATTCAAACCCTGTGACACATTGGTCGGAAGTTGGGTGTCTAAATCGGTGAACCCATAGCTCTAGATAAATTATCATTCCATAAAATACATCTATTCGGTCGAGCAAGTTTACCAGTAGCAGGATATATTCAGTCTGTATTATCAAAAGTTTGTAAAGTTATTTTTGGGGGCACATTTAATTGAAATAAAATACAAACATTTTGACGCAGGGTGGTAGTAAGCTTTGATACTGTCGATTACTTTGAAAACTATGTGATATATTTGGATGCTTTTCTTTAATTGTTCGTGGTACTGATTTTTCGTTTCAATGTTCGTATGTATATTGAATTTTCGAATGATTATATAAGTCACAGCAAAATAAACCGACCGAAAGCTGCTACCTTGACGTGGTGGTCGGGCTTGAACACCGCAACGACCCAACAAGCTATACTGGCTGGAACTTATGTTCCTGCAGGTCCTACCATGCCAGAAAGGTTGTTTGGATAGCGGTTAGACAAAAATCAGCTACCCAATCCAATCCTATGACTTCAAATAAATCACAAAATATCATGCCGGATCGGTCGGGGCCCGGATTAACAACGACCGCGCTTCCTGCTGCCATGTCACAGGGCAGAAGTGATAAATACGCTACTGAGACACACCAAACAAAAAAGAACAAACAAAAACAGGCCGTGTGTGACCGGCCTCAAGCAGTTATCCCCTGAGCTCTGCGGTCACGCAACCAACTTCCACAGTGTGGGCAGCCGGAAAGTAACAATCGCCCTCACAATCCGAAGTGCACGCGAAACCTCTCTAATCCTCACTCACCTTTGTCTTCATCATCATCTCTATTATCTTGCCTTCCATCTACTAATGCAACTCCTCTACTTAATGGCTCTTCACTTCCTCTTCACTCTGTGTGCACTGAAAACGATGGAAGCCAAAAAAACTTGCTGCGCTTTCTTTCCAAAATATAATATAACATAAGTAGAACGGAGGCGCAGTCGATTACGGTTTGATTTTCCCACAGATAGTTGTGGTCTTATGCAGTTATGTATTACTTGCTTATAGGAATGCTGTAATAATCATACCAGAAGTTATGTTTAGCTGTTTTAAAGGGTGTTTTATCACCTTTTTGTTTTACACAGTTAGAATATCTACTGTGGGTGGGTGGCGTTTGCAATATTATGCACGGAAATACCTCGTAACAGCTCTTATCCTCACTCCTATGTATGTTCTAAGGACACATTCCAGAAGAAATACAATTTTATATGTGTCCAAACCAAGTTCACTTTTAACATTTTGGATATATGATATTCATTATTATAAAAGTTTTTTTTAATTTCCCAATGAATGAAAAACAAAACGATATTGTTATTTTTACGGAGGTTTCGCCATTTAATTTAGTGCTAATAGCTTTATCAAAGTATTATTGAACCAGAATTTTGCAAAATCTCTACTTATATATACAACAATATAATCATCCTTCTCTAGCGTGATGTAATTTTTATGTTTTCAAGTTGGTTAATTGGTAAAGATAACAAAACCACGTGTAGATTGTTGGATTCAATAAGTGTATAAAATTATCAAAGAAGCATGTGTTTACATAATGAAATTGCTTATCGCGTTTGTGTTGATTTTGCCACTTTATGGGTATGCGCGCGTGTGTGTGTGTTGCAACCAGGTTTAGTGGGATTGAATTCCATTTGATATGAAGCGCTTCTGAGAATATTAGACGTTCTTTGTGATTTCTGAAACTTTTCTGGATAATGATTTCAACATTGTCAAAATCAATTTGTGACCTGATCCTACAGCGTGTAGACCACCTATGGTTGATGATTTTTCAAGCTTTTCTAGTTCAACTGGATTTCTCAATGGTTGATTAGGTGATTAACAGTGTTCATTTCTTCTGATCTCGATTTCTCTCAAGGTTTGTCTTCTGTATATCGCATCTCACATTTCAAGGATTCGATCTTTCAAAAGGGTAAAATTGCTTTGTAGTGTGTCAAATGTTTTACGGAAAACTCTGATGTTGTGTTTATTTAGTACTCCTCTGATATCTTGTGACGTTTCTGATCTATATGGAATGAGAACTGTCCATGTCTTAGGAATACATTTTCAACCATGTTCAATATTGGTGTTGATTTTGATGATGAAGTTCTTTGAATGGTCACCTTTCTTGAGAATTTCAGGAATGTTTGATATTTCTTCTTTTTCCTTCTCACCCGTTATCAAAGACTGTGCTTAGATTTTGTAAATTCTAATTTAATTAAACTTCGATAAAGCTATTAACGTTAAATTTAATAGTAAAACGTCAGTAAAGACTATATCGTTTCTTTTTTCATACATTGAGAAATACAAGAACTCTAATGAGATATAATTTTTTCTTAATTATCTGTTATTTTAAATCTAGTTTTCATTAACTGCTTGCAATTTCGAACGTATTTGCTTTATAGATGACCACTCAAGAGTTGTACTCAAAGAAACTGGAACAAAAAGTGATTATATTAACGCGAACTATGTGGATGTGAGTAAAATAATTATTGATTAATCGTCTTTTTAAAATTGCGCTTCACTTTACTCAATACTTTGTAATGAAGTTGTGTTTTTTTTAGGCGGGTTTACTATTTGTTTGGTTTATCCCGTAGGGTTTTTGTAATGTATGAATAATAGTATTGAATTCTTGTGTACTGGTAAAATGCTAAAAACTTGATTCTTCGCATGAGAACCATATATTACTTCATCTGCGTTACTGACAGGCATTGAGGTGAACGCTTATGCACGACGAATGAGTGGTTTGTAAATGAAGCTAGTGGAGATGTGCGACCCATTGACCCAGAGCACTTGACTTTCAGTCAGCTGGTCTCAGATTAGAATCTCGTTCTGCCTACTTCAGTCTGGATAGCTGAAATATTGGGCTTCAGCGATTCATCTTCACTGTGCTGTGTTCTCTGCTGTCAGTTTTTTAACGGCAGAATACTGGAGTATTCTGCAGTGAAATTATTTATTGGCATCTAGATGTACAGATATAGGCAAAGTTCGTCTATTATATATTTGAAATATGTATATATACATGCGAAAAATGGTCTAAAACCATACTCTCCGACCCCCAACACCCCATCTATTCCCAACTCTCTCCTTGTATCTCATCAAGTAGAACCAGAAATCAGTATAAAATAATTTATGCTCGTACAACCAAGTACAGGAACTCAACGATACCATATTTGGCCCGTGTTCTAAGTGACAGAGACAAAGTTAAGCGCGAAACCTATAAGTTGCTTTGTTTATAATAACATAATTTTAGACTTTTATTTCTCTCTTATTTTGTATTCTATAGTGAACTCCTTCTTAAACATACTTAGCTACCTAAATTATTAACATTGGCTTACTTTTTTGTACTTTACTCTATTCCTTCTTTTGTGTATCTACTGGTTCCGACCATATTAGCACTATGAGTGTTACAAAATTGTCCTGTCATTAACCATCATGTAATTATTAGTTTTTGTGGTTGTTTTTTTATTTTATTATTTTTTTCGGCAATATTAACTGACAATCATTGGTTGTGAACGCCATTACCACCATCTTAAAATTTCGTATTATGCAGGATTACTCACACTACCACTACACACACTGCATTAGACCTGACAATAAAAAACAAAACAACAACCCTGAAATGTTATTTTATGATTGTTTAGAGTTGTTTCAACCAAATTAACTGATCATCTTGGCGATAAACATTCTTAAATATCATTTCATAGCTTCTTGTATGACTACAGCTTTACTGTCACCATGCATAATCATATCATAGCTTCCAGTACCCAATACTGAGATATTATTATATGCTGTTTATTTTCCTTTCTGCTTCTTGGTATTTCTCGCACTTTCTAAATAATTTTTGTGCTTTTTGTGTTTTTTTGCTGTTGTTGTCTTTATATTTATTTTTTTGAAATACTCCTTTTTAAATGTTTGATAAAATTAGATGCAAATATTGTAGATATGTGCTGAAAATTCCACACTGTACCACTAGTACTGTTTCTGGAATAAAGCAAATTATTATTATTATTATTATTGAATCACAATTTGCATATCTCTTCGGTATTGTGCTACTTTTGTTTTCCATATTGTTCTTCTTTGCCATCATTTCGTGTTTTCTATGTTGTTTCACAAACATCGTTCATTTCTTCTCTCCACCATTAAATCCATGTTTACGCCATTCTATATTCCTGCAGATGGTATACACATTTATACTTATATTCATATACTATTCGGTAGCACATGTCACAGTTTCAGCAGGTTCCATGACTGCCCGTAAGCTTTCATTTTTTCTTCACGTGATCTCTTCCATGTCACCTTCGGATGCCCAATCCGTTACTTCCTGTTTGGGCGTTCTACTGGGGTACATGACTAGAGTTTGGTGTTACTTGGATTTCTTCTCAGCGAATGTTCACTCCATCTCTTATTACCTTCTGCATATTTGTTTATGCAATAGATTCTTACCGGAATAGGTCAGCAGGTTAGTATCATTAGCACTCATACAATATGAGTATTGATCATGACTCGGTACGCGGTAACTTAGTTCTAGCCAACCAACTATGAATAAGGCTTATAATTATTATTACTATTATTACTTATTTTAAACAGTTTATGATTTAACGTAATATAAACGAAGTTTAATTTTATTTGTTGGCTGTTATAGGGTTATCATCGTCGAGCAGCATATATAGCTGCTCAAGGCCCTATTCCATCAACTTTTGATGATTTCTGGCTAATGGTATGGGAGCAAATGTCCAATGTAATTGTTATGATATCTAATTTTGTTGAACGTGGTCGAGTAAGTTGATAAATTTACTATCCTTTTTTATGCATCTATCAGTAATTAGTGCCTTGATGTATACTGTCTGTTTGATGTCTGTTTTATTTGGAATCACTCCAGTGTGTTTTCTTGAAATGTCGTCTTTTTCTTCATTAATGACGTTATTCTGAACTTGTATGTCCTTACCTGTACAGTGATATTTTTTTGAATTGTGGTTTCATTGCGTTTGCGTTCCAACTGGGACATAGAGCTTCAAGCTATTTTTAAAGTTTCAGTATCCTTTGTTGGTATTATGTTTGTGCGGGGTGGGGTTGCTGACATCGCGTTCAACGTTTTCCCTTTGTTTCCCAGTTTATTACTGCCTAGATAAGGTTTTTGGGTGCATTGCAATCGAACTCGAACCTCCCACATGGTTTGGGAACATTCTTCCATTGAACCACTGTGCATTTTATCAATTATAACGGTTATGAGTTGAGCTGACCATCTTTTTAACGTTTATTATGTGACCAAATAAATAAACAGTATTATCATCTGGTTTCACTGTGTGATTGGTATGATATGTACATAAATATATATATATATATATATATTTGGAGGAAGTCCTCTTCAATAGACATTGAACCTATTCTCATTCGAGAGCATCGTTCACTCTGTGATATTTTTTGAAATTTTTGACGGAGTTGCTCAATTAGGTCTAAATGACAAAAGTGTCTATACTTTGTACTTGAAACTATTCATTTTCTCCTAGATTGGATGGTATATGTAGTGAAATGTATCCTTAAAGATTCCAACCAGTACCGTAGGCATTTGTTGTATTTTAGACATTTTTATAAGTAAATTAGAATTAGCTTAGATAACGCAGGGATGCATCGGTGGCACAGCGGTGAAGACGCTCGCCGACCATACACGTGGTCCGGGATTCGATCCCTGGCCACCGACGCACTCCTTTACCTCGCTAAGCCAGAAACAGAGCTGGTAAAGAGGAAGGGTTAGGCATGAGGCTAGCAACCCTATCCTGTAAAAATAAACAACACTGCTACAGAAACTTCAAGCTTCTGGCTTGAAGCCCTATGTTCCACTGGGAACGTGAAGGGAACTAATAATAACTGTTTCACAATTATTTCACATAATTCTAATTCAAGGTTATTGAAGGTGATGGAAGCACTTTGGATTAATCACATACAGCCTAAACTGTGTGTACAAAAAACAATAGGTTTCAACCTTCGCCTACCATGGACTACTTGACCTGTTTAAATATGATTGGTCATCAGCACGTACTTTTGTTTTATCTAACTGAGTAGTTGTCATGAGCTTTATTTTATTATTGTGAACCATGTTAGTTGTAAAGGGGTTGTAAAGAAACTACGAAATGATATCATCTCACGAAATTTGTCTTCTTAATGCCTTATTCAAATTTATCAAAGGGACTAATTGTTTTAATAATAATAACAGATATGCAGGACCTGAAATACTTTCACTCGTCGAAGTCTTTTAACAGTTTCAAAAAATGGATTCAGTCTAGGTCAGTATAAACTCTACCGAAATTCTACATTCTTCTTTCAGCTACTTTAATCAAAATTTGTTTAGTCATGCCTTTTATTTAGTTAATTTGGTATGTTAAGCGGTAGAGTAAAAGTTATTGTGTACTTGTTATTGTTATTTTATTCTTTTGTGTTCCAAGCGGAACATAGAGATTCGAGCAGTGGTTTTATTTTTACGGGTTGGGGTTGCTAGCCTCACACCCAACCCTCCCTCTTTGTCGTGTTTACTGCCAGCTTAGCGAGGTTTAAGGAGTGCATCGACTAGGAGTCGAACCCAGTACACTATATGTGTGGTCGATAAGCATGCTGCCTATGTATCATTTATTCTCTTAATAACCTTTTCCCATGATTTCTTATATGCACATCTTATTACAATTCTTTCATTTACAGGAAATTAATACTTCTTTCATTGTTATTTCATAATAACTTGTGTTTCTTTTGCTTTGAAGTAGACCCAATTGTTTCTTCTTCTTCTTTGTTTTCAGCGAAAATGTGATAAATATTGGCCTAGTTCAGGTCAACAAACCTATGGGAATATATCAGTTCGTATTGTCTCCGAGGTTGTACGGGCATTCTACACCTTTCGGGTGTTCTCTATCCGTAATATCAAGGCTAAACGTGTAAATCTCTTTATTCTATTGTTTATTATATATTTCCAGTTGTAGTAGTAGTAGCAGTAGCCGTAGTATTTGTCGACTTTTTGTTTGTTATTAATAATAATAGTAATAATGAATCGAGTTGAATTGAACTACATATTCTGGAAAAAAGTTGTACTCATTGAGGAATGTTTATATGAAATTAATGGTACTCATATTTATCCCATTTTATGTTGATCATTGTCTATTTTGCTGGATGCCAATGTTTATCAAGTGTTCTGTATTAAGGAATATTACTACCATATGGTCATGCAACTTTGTGTTACCTATTTTATGTAGAAGTGGTGTGATTTGCTGAGTAATATTGAGGTTAGAAGTTAAGTGTTAGGTAAGAAGGAGGGAATCTCAATCGATGGTGTTGCGCACACGAAGCCAACGAATTCCTCGTTGAGAAGCGTTAACTGACATAGGATTGGATTGAAATAGAATTAAATGTGGTCAAATTGAAATCTGTCATCAATCCACAAAATCTTTTACTGTTGATTTTAGCTACATGCAAAGGTGCACAGAGTGCTTATTTGGGTGGGTAGGGTGTAGCCGAAAATCGTCTTCAGTTTCATAGATGTATATTCACTTTGTAATCTGCTAGATCCATGTTTCTCCTTGTAATTACTCTTTTAAAAGTCAATCTGAACAAAGAATATTCTTTTCAATAATTTCTCCTCTTCAGGTTCTTACAATTATAAAATATAATATTTGTTGTCGTTACAATAAAGGCCAGTTATGCGGCGGATACATTTTTAACGTAGAATAACAGATTAGCATTATAGGGTGTCAAAATAAATAGTCGTATTTGTGTGACAGACATCGTACTAGTCTGAAATCGATTACAAAATATTGTAAAATGGGAGACAATGGTGATGATTAGTCATAATAGATTCGTAGAATGTAGGGTAGGGGAAATTGACAAGTGAGTTCAAGGCTATAAAAGATGTCAGGTGAGTGAGTGGCTAGTACAAAGTGGTCTGTATTAAACAGGAGATTGTAAGACTGCAATGAGAGGTTCATAATGAATTAACGAATGTGTGAAATGAGACAGGTGGAGGCATATATTGAGAAAAGAGATAATATCACGAATAATAAGTTCGGACAATGTAAATGGAAAATTCGTTAGTATTGAGAGAATGTTTGCATGAAGGGCATAAATTATGACGAATAATAATAATAGTAATAATAAGCAAAGGGAAAAAAACCCAGAGGGTTAAGGGGAAGAAGCAGATTGACTTTTAATTCATGATATGAGAATATTTCACGTTATTAAATTATTCTTTTACTGAACATCTCTAGTGATTATAGTCCTTTTGATTTTTTTCCTCTACACCTTTATGGGCTGTATGAAGTATGGCAACTTGAACTGCTGCAGTTTTGTGCGAAGTTCTACTTTGAAACTCAGCCAATCAAACCTCTTCATTTAGTGTTGTGTGCACTTTCAATCGATTGGTAAACATAAGCTGCTAATCCTAAAGCTTGGGTGTGTGTGTGCATATTACAATCGACAAAGTTAAAACAAGACAATTGAAACATCAGTCCACACTATACTGTGTAATTAATTGGTGACTTTATATTACTTACCACACTTGCTTTACATGGTTGCTAACTCATTTCATACACTTGTCTACGTATTCAATTTTTTTCTCTTCTTCTTCAGAGTTCTAAAGATCGTTTTGTCTATCATTATCAGTATACAGATTGGAGAGATTTTGATGTACCACCATCTCCACTTCCAGTATTGAAATTTGTAGAAGCTTCTATTACTCACTGGACATTAGAAAAGGGTCCAATTGTGGTGCATTGCAGGTATATTTTATTGTTTAGTGTTTGCAGCATGTATTTCTCATGTTTTGTGCATTATTATTATTTTTTCCTTTAATTCCTAGAGGAACATAGGACTTCAGCCGCGCGTCTCCATTGCGTTCGGTTCTCTGCTAGAGTATTCACCTGGCTCCAAGTCTGCCCACATGCTTTCATCTCTTCTTCACATGACCTCCAAGTCCAAGTCACCCTTGCACTGACGACCAACTCGCCACTTAGCATTCGGGTTCCACTCGAGGGCTTGTCTAGTAATGTCACTTCATAGTTTGTTTCCTCAGAGTATGGCCAACCCATTTCCATTTCTTCCTGCTTATTTGTTGCATAATTGGTTCCTGCTAGGTTAGTTTGCTCCCAGAGATCCCTGTTGCTAATTTTTTGTGTAGGGTAGTCATTTCGCTAACTTCATCATCATATCCAACTGGGCGCTCTTGCATCTGTGTGTGTTTGTGCCTTTTTAAGTTATTTTATCGATAACATCAAAGTTGTCCATCGCATTCCTTCAAACCTTTCGAACCCACCTTTTGGACATAGCCGAAGCTATGGGAATTAACTTGAAGGAACAGTCCTAGTCTTTGCATGCAACAAAAGAAGTTTGTTCTACCTTAGTCTAGGCAAATTCTAATTGACGAAAATCTCCCAGCCTTTCTTATTTTCTGTTTCCTTCGTACTTTTATGATAGCTGTCCACTTCACCCTTAATATTACGTAACTCTTAAGATTTGACCTAATTTATTTATTGAATTGTCTACATATACACACATAATACTACCTTCGTTATTCTTATCGCCACCTGCATAAAACCTATTATGATTATTTTTGTTAGTTTTCAAGTATTGGTTTGGTAGGGATTTTGTTTAATTGCATGGAGGATTTCATCATGAGCTGACGTCAGTTAGAGAACCACTGGAAAACCTGGGAGTACTGGACAGCTGTTTCGTCCTAGTTTGGGACTCTTCACAGTACGCGCCCACCGGGATTCATATCATATAATCCTCGTTATTACTGATGTCTAAAACATTTAATACACTATTAGTACCGTAATTTGATGCCCAAGCCCACCGTCATTGGTTAGATTTTTCACATATAAATATATGTAAAGTAGGACTCTTATATATGTGTGTTCTTTTCTTTATAAAGTTATTCAATTTTGTGTATTTATTTCTCTGGAATTCATATACAGCGCCGGTGTTGGTCGAACTGGTACCTACATTTGTATTGAAAGTCTAATACGTCAGCTTAAAGTGGAAAAGGCTGTTTCTGTTCGAGGATTTTTGGAGCATATACGCCAACAACGCATGAAACTTGTACAGACAGAAGTAAATATTTTTATTTTGTAATTAGCATCCATCAGATACTTATGCGTGTCGTTTATTTTAAAATTGTGGTTCCGTTACTTTCATTATTTTTTTCCCCAACTTCTGCCGTCAATTCTCTCTTCCAACTTATAATTATTACTGGTCCCTTGGGTTCCGAGTGGAACATAGTGCTTCAACAGCACGTGTCCATTTTGCTCATTTATGTGCAGGCCTTTTTAGCTGATGGCAGAACTGCCCATAGGCTCTCATCATCTCGTCACAAGACCTCCTCCACGTTACCTTCAGACGTTTAAGTCATCGTTACCATCGGTTACCACGACGTCTGCCGACGGTTTCCTCAGCGAGTATCCAATCCATCCCCATTCAATCCTACATATTTGCTGAGCAATAGGTTCTCTTTTGGTTTGTTCACAGAGTTTCTTGTTGCTAATTCTTTCTGGCCGGCTATCTGATCTTCAATATTGAGCGAAGCTGGCATTTGTTGATAAAAGTCTGTAGCAGGCTGTTTGCAATGCTTTTCATGACACGCCAAGTTTGTGATCCATATAGATTAAACAACTTAACATTGGTGTTGAGAATCCGAATTTCATTCTTTATTTTTGGGGCAGGAGATCTCCATACCGATTTGAGAGTGATTAATGTCTATCTTGCTTTTTTGATTCTGGTTTTGACATCCTCATGGTTGTTGTCGCCTGTAGTTGCGATGATGCTGCCTGGTCAGATAAGTAAAGGAATTTACCTTCTTTAAATTTCCTCCGTTGACTGTGATTCGTGCTTGTTGTTAGTTGGTTGGTTAACTTACAGTTTGCTAATTTTCCGAAGAATGGATACTGAACAAAGAGTACTCTTCTCGATAAATTCATCATCAGGCTCTACAGTTGTATATATACATTATAGTGAATGAATGAATTAGTGTTATGAACAACATTAATGTTTAAATAACATCTAATCAATAGTATTGATAGATTACAGCTCAATAGCATCAACATAAAACAAGCTGAATGTCAGAAAAATTAGGAAAGATAATAATACAAATCTATGAGTTTATAGTCTCTGCTGAAGGCCAGGGAAGTAGTAGGGGCTGGACTTGCTTCTTTTGCACACAGAGCACTGGTTGTTTGAAGCGAATTGCAATAGCCTCTGCTGTTTGGAGTATGCGGCACTTCGATGATTTTGGCAATTTATTTGGCACCCGCCAGATTATAGAGAAGGATTCTTCAATGCTGGCTGGCTTTGTGGCCGGTTTGCACCAGATGGTCCAATATCGAACTGTTAGTGGTTTTAACTACACCTTTACTTAGCCATAGTTGGAGATGTTCTCGAGCACGAAGAAAGCCAATCACTGATTAAATTGAGGTTAGTTCAGATGAGGTCATAACCTAAAGGTAAAATAAAGGAGGGAAAGTTTGACCTACGGTCTAGGACAACATAACAAATTGAGTTCCTCCACTCTACAGTCACATGCATATTTATATGTTGTCTGTCAATGAGCCATTTCTATGCTGTACAATCACTAGTGACGCTACCCGTCTTTCCAAATCTTGATCAGTAAAACAGGCCTCGAATTGATTGATTAAAAGTTGTATGCCTTATCCAGTAAACTACAGCTTTACAATATATTGAATGACATGTGTCAGACATCATGAAGCCCCCTACTCGTTGACATCCATCAACGTGATGTCGAAATGCACAACCCATCCTAAATTCAATTTCTCTTCTTTTTAACTCTCTTTGTCTCTCTCAAATATTCGTAGGTGGGGCTTCAAAGTTAATGGTTTAGATAGAAGAATTCTCGTGTAAATTCAAAAAAAAGGACTAGGATAATTAATACATATATGATGAGTGAATTTAGCTAACATTTATTCATAGTGTGTTTTTGTTATACAAGCATTTATTTTGACTTATATTTTAAACAATGGATTTGGTTTCATCTTTAAAAAAAACTTTTCTTTTGATCATCTTCTCTTTGTCTTAATTTAGCAACAATATGCTTTTATTCATGATGCATTATGTGAATATATACTATATCCGTGTCATTCAATTCATCCGTTACACTTCAGTGATTATGTGAGACATTTATATGAATTAGATCAAGCAGGTGTATCGAACTTAAAGAAACAATTTGATGTAAGTCGTTGTTCATATTTCTTTCATTCTTTGCGTTCCTCTAGGATTCTAGGCTTTTGAGACCTTGAATTTCCATTAGCGGCAGTGGTGTTAACTTTTACCGGGTGAAGTCGAAAAACCATATTTATCTCTTTTCTCTGCTTGCTACCAACTAGGTCAGGTGTAAGAATCAAACCCTCGTCCGTATGCGTGGTTGGCGAGCATTCTACCTCTGAACCACCAAATTCAGTAGTCGTATCAGTATTATTAGTCTCTTGTGTTCCGATCAGAACATAGGGCTTCATCAGCACATCTCCATTTTGTCCTGTTTTATACCATCCTCTTTATCTGGCCCCACGACTGTTCATAGTCTCTCATATCCTCCACGTACGATGTCCTGCATGTCATCCTTGGACGCCCAATTCTTCGAGTGATGGCCTAACGCGTGATATTTCCTGACAATCTCTTCAGCGTGTGTCCAATCCATCTCCGCCTTTGTCATATTTGTCAAGCGATAGGTGTTCTTAAGGTTCTTTAAGGTTACTGGCCTTACGACAAATGAGAAAGAATAACATGAACTATAAAAGTCGAGTTTCAAAGTTGTCTATGGTATGTTGTCTTCGAAACGTCATCTAGTAAATAATCCTGTTTCATTGTATGAAATATCCAGTGACCAAAATAATATGGAATTATATAACTGTCACAGTCTTCAAGTTTTACATGTGTATTATAATGCAAAAAAGGTCTTTTGGTAGGGTATAGAATTATAAAATTCACCTCTCCTGGTACCTTCTCTCGGTATTACTGCTCTTAAATTGTTCCTTATCAGCAGTTAATTCCTTTCCTGTTTTTGCTAAATGGTTAGTAACTTTGTGGTTGTTTTTAGGAAGCTTAGAAATTTACCCGGTGGGTACTTTGGATTAGTGACAGGTGTTTTAGTGATTGCTTTTTGAAAGCGTCATTTATTCTCTATTATACTGATTGTGAGGGTATTTAGAGACTCCTCTCATATTCGTTAATGACAAATGTTTCCTGTTATTCCAACACTAAGCCCATGTATCTGTTCAACATTGAAAACATCTAATTTGATATTCTGCTACCACTTGTGTGAGTGATAACTGACTGATGACTGGCGAGCACTGAAATTGAAACTTCCTTTTTGCAAGTAATACGCATATTTTAATATGTGGTTAGTGTTTTTATCTATCATGTAATGTATACTTGAACGCACTATAAAAATGTGTTGATTAATTATACATCGATTGTATTATATTATTTTTTTATTTAAATTTTTTAAAATCAAGATGTGTATGGATTTCGGATATAACTCCATCGGCGGCAGTACGAACTCGGGTAATTCAATTGTGGATCAAATGAAATTGCCTATATCTACAGGTAATGTATGTTTTCTTTTTTATTGTGTTATTTTCTAAGACTACAACCAAATAGTGCATCGGTGGTTCAGTGGAGAATACTATGCTGCCACCCCGCAAGTCATCCAGAGTTCGATTCCCGACCGACGCATTCATAAACATCATTTAACCGGTGAAAAGGAATGGTTGAGAGTGAGGCTAGAAAAAAGATACCACTATCGCTACCCGAATTTCAAGGCTTAGAAAGCTAGGAGCTTTGTTTTCCGCTTGGAATGCAAAACAAGTGTGAGAAAGTATAGTCAAATGACTTAATGTGCAATTAGAAAATCATGGAGCTGTGGTTCATTGTCATAGACGCTCGATTTCCAACTAGTGGGTCATGCGTTGGAACATTATCTGCCCTACCTACTGAGGTTTTGACAGTCAGGTAAATATCACTAGTCCCTTTATACACAATAGGTGGTGTGACTCATTCATTGGCGACTGCATGTTATTTCATTTCAGTTAGATAGTCGGTATACAAGACTGTTTTATGAAAATGTTTATTCGGTCAAGTTGTCTACTTTTGTGGAATTTTATTCCTGTAGAAATATTCATGAAGGTCTGGAGAGAAAATTGTCCTTTTTTAGTTCAAAACCCGAATTATGCCTATCATTAAATCACATTTTCAATGTGTTATGATTTGTTGCACTTACTTATGATTGATTAGTTCAGCTGTGAAACTTCAGAAACTATGCAAAAATCATGTATGGGAGGAAATCCGTGAAGTTACATTTTAATAGGACAGTGTCTATCTTAACTAGAAGAATCACAGTTTAAAGACATCAGTGTTTGATGATGTAACAGGGGCACAAGTATAGTGTAAACATTACACCGGACATATTTGATATCTAAGCGCTTAAGCTTTTCATTTGCCCAATTATTTATAGGCTGCTTCGTGACGTTGGCAACTTTTTCCTTATGTACTTGTTATATGGTCTTTTCAGTCGGTATGCTACCTGTGGATTTCTGCTTGTCTTTCAGTGACGACACAAACTTAACGCATAAGAAGCATTTGTTATTAGAAACCTACATTTCCCATCACGAATCCATAGCAAGCAACAAATGTTAATAAGGCAAGATTTGTTTCAAGTTCGACCATGGATTGATATCAGTTAAAGAACCATTGGAAAACCAGTCCCAGTTTGAAACTCATCGTCAGTACGCGCCCATCAGGGTTTGAACTCACGACCTTCCAGTTACAAGGAAAGCTCGTAGACCATTCAGCACCTGGGACACGATTCAAGGCTCATGAATTCTAACTTTCTTGAGAAGTCGTGGCCAATGGGTTCCATTCGGTAGAAGACGTAGGGAGAAATACTCGCTGATGACATCGGCTGGTGGTCGTGCTAAAAACCATGAATCGGTGGAAGTTAGAATTTATGGGCTGGCCATTGAGTCGCGTCCCAGTGGCTGAATAGACTGTGAGCTTCCCTTGTAACCGGGGGATTCTGCGTTCGAACCTGAGTGGGTGCGTACTACCGATGAGTCCCGAACCAAGACTCTTTGTTTTCTAATGATTCTCTAATTGATATCAAACAGTGGTCAAACTTGCAACAAATCAATCCCCAGAAATTAACTCTTGCAAAGAAGATTTAATGAACTCACTGAATTTCGAAAGGAGTCCTTGATTGAGCACTCTACAGTACAGTTTTATTATTATTATTATTATTATTATTATTATCATTATTAAAACCATATTTTATCACCACCATTACCTTAACTCATTTCACTATTATTGTCTTGTGTAGCTATCTTTGATCATAGGTGTTTGCTTTCTATCTCCCGTGTTAGGTGGTATCATAGGGTCAACAATATTGAGGTTAGACGTTAAGTGCTAGGTAAGGAGGGGAAGTCAATCGACGAGGCTTTGAAGTTATACCAGTTGAGATGGTTACATGTTTTACGTAAGTATGTCTAGCCATCACCTTCCTCGACCGATGGGCAATGTTAGCTAACATAGGATGGATCAGGTTGGAAAAGAGTTAGCTAGTGGTAGTCAAACCAAAACATGGCTTCATCAGTCAATGAAATTCACAACAGTTAGTTTAAATCAGTCACGTAGGGAGATGTAGACTTCACTGGTTGGGGTCCTAAGGATGGTAAGAACCAATGAAGACTGGAGACAATTCGTGATATGACTAAAAATCGTTCTCAGTGGCTGGCGCGGATGCATCCACTCCTTGTGTCTTATAATATCCAATAAACCTCTATTGTTCTTCCATATTACTTTTCTTTTTGCCTCACATCTGTGTTTATTAACGCTCTTTTGAGTCTTTTTTAATTTCTCCTCTTCCTTTGTTTGCTAAGTGAAATGTGGCAACTTGAACTGCTGCACATATTTGTAAAGTTCTACGTTGGAACCAGTCAGTCTTGTGGATTAATTTGAGTATTGTTATAGTTTCTAACTGAAAATTACTTTTCACTGTTTACTGCCGAATTAGTTATAATACTTCAAATATTAAAGTGTACGCTGACGACTCTGGTAACCCGTTGCAGTTAGTAATGCTACGTCGGTTGCACAGCGGTTAGGACTCTCACCGACCATGCACATGGTCCGAGGTTCGATCCTCTGCCAATATCAATGGTTGGCCTGTAAAATTTGGGCTACCGATATGACATGCTGAAAATTCCATCCTTGTACCGAAAATACTGTGTGGTTTCAAGCTATAATCAAAATAATAAAAAAATATCAATAAACTAACTAACGTTTTATACGAGTTACCCTAAGGTTTTAGTAATAACTTGCCATTTGTAACGCAACCTTTAAATTAATCTTAAATAGTGGTGACACCCGGGAATGTGTACCTATGTAAAGCGAATTTATCGACATTGCTATTTGTCTTATTTATACCTTTGTGTTTTTTTAAATAAAAGACTCCAATAACCATCGACCTCCATGAATATAGGCATTACTGTCTATATTTTATAATTTAGCATATTGATGACGCCTGTTAAATTAACTGGCGTTTCTCATGTAAAAATAAATGAGAATATATATATATATTTTTATTGATTGCTCACTATACTTTAATACTTTGATCCATTTTCTTCAATTGTAAGTACAATACTATTTCACCTTTTTTTTCTTTCTTAAATTTTAGGTATTTCTGATAGTTTAGGCATTGATTTTTCTATTCTTCATGGATTCTTAAATGTCTGTGAGTATATTGTTATTCGGCATCCATTAGGCAATAATATTACTGACTTTTGGAAAAAAGTATGGGATGCTAATTCATCGTTGATTGTATGCCTGTCCGATGAAAGTCTACTACCATTTTGGCCAGATGAAACTGAGCAGGTTAGTTATATTATACTTTTGTTTGTATTTTACACTGTTTTATAAATAACTGATTCTGTGTATTTACTTGGCGCACGTTTATCCTCATACCATGGAATTTTGTATGTATTCGGATTTCAGTAGGCATTTTGATACTGGTTAGTTTTGCATTCTATCTTGAATGAATCTGAACTGATACCTTCACGTACATATGTATGTGTTTGTGCATTCTAAAATTTACTATCGTGTGTTATCAATCTGGAGCCCTTTTTCCTAAGTGCTGGTTTGCAGGGATTTGATTGATCTGAAGTTTGATCGCGAATTGATTTCACTGAAGGGACCACCACTGAAAACCTAGGAATACTGGACGGCTGTTTCGTCCTAGTTTGATACTCTTCTTCAGCAGACATCAACAACCCCACCAGGAAATTGAATGCAGGCGAGCTCGTTAACCATTCGACGACTGGGTCGAAATCTAACGATTCATGGATTCTAACTTCTGTCAATTCGCAATATGTAACGCCACCCGAAACACACATCGTCGGCTGGTATGTGTCCTCATACTACTCAACTTGGTGGATCTCGTTGGTGGCTTTTCACTAGAACCGAAATCAGCCTCATCCTGTAAATCAGTCAGTAGTGAGGGCTGAAATAATTTCCAGTTGTTGGCCTTCTTCGATTTGATTTACTTCAATCCTGGTTTTCAACGGTTCTCGAAACATGAAGTCAGTTTTTGATCATACTTGATAACCATTTTTGTTTTCCCACCGTGTAACCTTGACAATGATTATTCTGTGTAGCATACTTTCACTGTTATGCTTCTGATTGTTCTTCATTGTCCCATTATTATTTCTATATTAATATTATCACTTGATCATCATGATTGTCCATACATCTTTTTTCTTCTTATCAGACAAGAACTATTGGCTGGTTACACATAAATTTTACCCGTAAGGAACAATGTAGTGATTCGTTAGTACGCTTCCAATTCTTACTAACATCTGATCGAGAGGATTATGCCCTACCATTTACACTATGGCAGTTTAATAGATGGCCATCTGTTGAGTTGGAAAATCCACAAGAATCAAGAATTGCTTCAGAATTACTTGTATTGGCAACACGTTTAACACAGGATAATTTGAAATTTCCAAGTTCACCTGCGCCTATCGTCCTAGTAGATGAGTAAGTTTTTATTTAATTTCTCTGTCTCTCTCCTAGTTTGCCTGTCATTTAAATTATTCTATCAATTTAGTACTACTACTGTAACAACAGAAGACAGGGACCAGGCAACAGATCGTTTATTAAGGAAAATCAACACACATTTATAGATTTTAATGTACATTATCGTAGATTATTGTTAATAGAAAATACAGTCTTTTGATTGGTTGTTTCTCACAGAAAGTTAACCTTGCATCTCTTTGTGGCTGTGTCAGATCATCCATATGCTAACTGTATTCGCCTACGCAAAGCCATTGTTCTCATTTTCTCACCACCAATATTTGGGACACAAACATTGACGTCAATTACTGTCTACCAACTTTGGCTAGCAGCCAGCTCTCACCACACTACGACTACTACTGCCGATTTCTCAAAGCAATCGCGGTAATCCTCTGTTCCCGTTTGAATTCTGAATTTCTTTTCTGCAGACAGTCAGTGCTTCGGTGATGCATGATACAACAGATTAAACACACCAGTCACTTTGGCGCTGTGATAAAAAAAGACGCAATCACCAGGCACAAATCTGTTGCATGCCATAATCTAAACTTTTATTAAAATGGTTCTGTGTATTGGTTAGCGAAAACTTGTAATAGGACGCCTCAAAATAAATTCAAAAATACTCTTAAATTCTTGTAGCAATTGTTCTTTAGCATGTGATATCTGGCTATCGATCAAAAGACGCGTGTGTGTGTGTACCACACAGCAGTTCGCTGTGTGCTTCTCTATGGCCATTGAAAGTGGTAGACGCGAAGAGGTTAGCTGTCTTCGATCCTAAGTGTTTGCTCTCTACTCCCCATGTTAAGTAGTATAATATGGTGAGTAATATTCAGCTGAGGTGTAGGATGTAAGGGTTAGGAGGGTAAATCAGTCGATGAGGTTGGGAAACATCTTACGCATGCTGATCCACTGCCTTCCTCGGCAAGCAATGTTAGCTGGCATAGAATTAGACTGGAAAGCAGACAGAGGTGGTGATCAAACCGAAATCTGACATCAGTCCATGAAGTCTCTGGCACTTGGTTTGAACCACGTGAGGATATGTAGACTTCCTAGTTGGTGTGCCTGAGGATGCCAATTTCTATGCTGAAATTCAGTCAGTGAGTCAGTCCTCTAGCATCAAAAAATATGTTACGCTTTTGTTATTTTAGGAACACCTGGTTTTCTTTGTCTACTCAGATTCGATTGGGTTATATAATTGTTTTTTTCCAATATTTTTTCTTCTTCAGAACTGGTGGTTATCGAGTGGGTACATTCTGTGCAATTCGTATTCTAATCAGTCAATTTATGGATGATTTCCTTCTCGATGTCTATTTTGTCTTCAAGATGTTATGTCTTCAACGACCTCATATATTTCGAGGTTACGTAAGTGTATTTCCAATTTACTAATTGTTTGTTGTTTTTTTTATGAATAAATCATGTGAAATTGGAATGTGTCTTATGCGTTTAAGCTCAGCGGCATTTTTATAATTGTTTGACATGCGATCATAACACGATTTACAATATGTGAGATTTAGCATTTTTGCTTCATAGAGTAGAATGTTATAGAAAATTAGTTAAGTGTGTCGGTAAAATCTTGTCTGTGGATATGAAATACATTTAATCCGGTCTGATGTTTTCAACTCAAATGTGATGTAATCATTCAGTGAAGCATCAGAACCACTGACACTAAGCTATAGTGGTGGGTTTTGTCTTTAGATTGAAAGCATAAAAGGCGTGCTTTAATGCTTTTAGAATTTACCTTCATCTTTTCCTTCATCCAAATACTAAGCCGCATCATCCTGGAGAGAATCAAACATGCCCTGGATGAAAAACTTCGACCGGAACAGGCTGGATTCAGGAGAAACAAGTCATGCATTGGTCAGATGGCCACATTACGGATCATCATTGAACAAAGCTTAGAGTGGCAGTCACCTCTCTACCCCACTCAACTTCATCGACTTTGAAAAGGCCTTTGACAGCGTCTGATAGGTGATTTGGCAACTACTACGCTACTACGGGGTGCCACCTACAATTATACATCTCATCCAACAGCTGTACGACAATGCTGCATGCCAAGTAATCCACAACGGGAAACTTACGGAATCCTTCGAAGTGAGGACAGGGGTAAGACAAGGCTGTCTACTATTGCCAATGATTTTCTTGATTGCAGTAGACTGGATAATGCGACAAAGAGCGGGCAATGAGGAAACAGGCGTAAAATGGACACACACAAAAAAACTTGGAAGATCTGGACTTCGCCGATGATATATGCCTGATTACCCACAAAGTGGAAGATATGCAAACAAAAAGCAACAAGTTGGCAGAAGAAGCATCCGGAGAAGATAGGACTTCAGGTGAACATAGAGAAGACAGAGGTGATGAAGATTCCTGGGCAACACCACCAACAGCAACAACAGAAAACGATCAGCATAAATGGGAGGAACCTGAAAGAAACAACCTCTTTTACCTACCTGGGAAGCATCGTTTCAACTGCAGGCCGACGGAACTGACGAGGATATCAAAGCAAGGATCGGAGAAGCAAGACAAGCTTTCACTACTCTCAAGTCTGTGTGGAGGTCAACAGCACTCAGCATCAAAAATAAGACCCGGATTTTCAACTCCAATATGAAGTCCGTGCTACTCACCATACGGATCAGAGACTTGCACTGCGCGTTATAAAGAGCATCTCAAACAAACTACAGACCTTCATCAACATCTGTCTTCGCTCAATACTCAAGATCAGATGGCCAGCCAGAAAAGATCAGCAACAGGGATCTCTGGTAGTGAGCGAACCAACCCAGCAGGAACCGATTGTGAAACAAATATGCAGGGAGAAATGGAGATGGATTGGCCATACTCTAAGACAATAAACCATCAAGTGACATCACTGGACAAGCCATTGCTCGAGTGGAACCCGAAAGGGAAGCGACGAGTTGGTCGTCAGTGCAAGGGTGACTTGGAGGAGGTCATGTGAAGAGGAGATGAAAGCGTGTGGGCAGACTTGGAGCCAGGTGAAAACTCTAGCAGAGAACCGAACGCAATGGAGACGCACGGCTGAAGCCCTATATTCCTCTAGGAATTAAAGGAAACGATAGTAATAATAATAATTTCCTTCATCTACCATTATTCTGTTAGTCTGTTTTGGTTATGGTGTTGATTTTTTCCATCATTTCATACTGCTGCTTTACGAAGCTGAAAAATAGGTAGAGAGGTTAATTCACTTTCGTTGTAAATTATCCCGTGGTAGCCATTTCTCAGGAATGGTTCAGATATATATGACTAATTTTTATATTTCTGAATAACATTAAGTTGAATACGGATGCTGAGTTTGACATTGATGCCGGTGACTGCGCAAACGCTAGGTACTCTGTCATCGTATACAACGACTACTTGTTTTCCTTGCCAATACTACTTAAACGAGAACACACAACGACATGAAGTCGAAAGTATATTTATCAGTATCCATATAAGTATAATCACTTGTTTATCTGTCTTCATATCACAAAGACCCGTCAATCTTCTTCTCTTCACATTGGATTGAATGTGGTTATCTGAGAAAACAATCCTACAAAGTAGAATAACACATTAAAAAAAACTTTTTCAACTAAAGTTGATTGAATACTGTTTGACTGCTTGCAGAATCAGACGTTGAAAAGTTTGAGCTCTGTTCACTCTTCGAACTGAGTTGAACCGTATACAGCGAGGTGATAGGCTAGCTCAGCGTAAAATAAGTGAAACTAGCGTTCAGTGTATTTATATCACTTTGATGTAGCTAGCAAGCATTGCTGTTTGACGACGTGTTGAGTGGTTGTCAACTACGCATACCAGCAAGAAAACAACCAATCAGAAGACGTTGCTTCCCCGCTGACAATAATGTACATACAATTCTATAAATATCTCTTGATTTTCGCAATAAACGATCTGTCACCTGGCTCCTTGTCCTCTGTCGTTGCAGTATGTAGCACCACGGCATTCAGTTGGTTATGCATTATTATTTATTTATTTATTTTATTTTTATCTGGTGATATAACACACAGCGGCGATATAGTATTAATAACTAGATGACGTTTCGAGCACATGACTTGATAACTTGCTTTATACTACCTTACTCCAGACTGTTGTTTTATCGATTCATTCTGAATAGGTGTTGCGTCATGTCATTTATATGTATATTCAGTGGTAACTCGATAAATAGAAAGTTTCAATAAAAATCATCAGGGAATAAGACTGTGTATAGCAAGTTATCAAGTCGTTTGAATATATTTTTATAAGATTATGATCAATAACTTTTACTCGAAATGTAGTCACCCACTTATTAATACTGTATCCCCAAGTGCCATGTTATATATATATATCTTTTTATTCCTTTGTGTTCCCACTGGAACATAGAGTTTTAAGGTTCAACTAAAAAGTTTCGGCAGCATTGGGGTGGGGGTTGCGCTAGCCTCACACCTAACCTTCCGTCTTTTCCGGGCTTACTACCGACTGAGTGTGGTGTTTAGGAGTGCATCGACCAAGGGATCGAATCCTGGACCGCATGAGGTCTGCTGAACCACTGACACACCGTTTCCTATGTGAAATTAATATATCCACCAGAAAGCATCTATAATTTGATGACTTCAGTGTATTGGAGGTTTCCGGTAAAACGAAATTATTTTCAATTATTTTGTGTATTACTATATAAGTTTCTAAAACAAAGCTTTTCCATCCCTTTTGTTTTTCTTCTTTTTCCTAATTCAGTGGGATTTAGAATTCATTTATACACTGATGCAATACTATTTAAAAAATGAACTATCCTCTTCATGGTGTTCGAACATAACAACAACAACAACAGATCCACGTTATGGAACTTTATCGTATTTACTTGAAGGACGAAATACTACTGCTACTACTAATAATCACCCTGGCAGCAGAATATCTCCAGTTGCTATTGGTGATGGTGGTGGGAGTGGTGATGGTGTTGGTGAAAACACTTCACCTAAACGCATCCTGGGACAACTTTTCTTCAATCGTCGTAGATTTACACATTCATCAAAGTGTAAATATCATTGTCTCACCAACAACGATAATAATAATAATAATATCCCATTATTACTTAATGGAAGTACTAAATATCATCATCATCATCAAATCAATAAAACGGCTATCAATTCACTTTTACATGACAATGATGAAGATGAGTGCAATATGAATAGTAATCATCATAATCATAATATTACCAACAGTATTGATGGTCCATTGACTGATGCATATCATCGTGAAGAATCACTTGTTGTAGACAAACATCATTACAACAGTAATGTTAGGACAATAGAACCACCATCATCATATTGTTGTGATGGTATTCAATCAAGAAAAAAGCATCAATCTGTTGAATTTCTTTCATTCCAAACAAATCATCCTTCGCATATTCCAAAACAGGTTCCTAATCATTATCATCATCATGCAGAATATCCTACTCTGTGATCTTTTTTCCCGTCAATATCAGTGCGTGTGTGCGTGCATGCGTGCGTGTGTATTGTGTTGCTTCAAAATGAGCGCCGTAAAAAGAAAGAAAAACATTTTCTTCTTTTTTTTTAAATATAGTCTTCTTATTTAATATCAGTTTAATACTTTTGAACAATTTTACTAGGTTATTTAAAATACAATAATAAATACACGTTTTCCATTTCATTCATTCATTATTATGCATATATATACACACAGACAGACTACAGTATTTTATATTCCTGTAAAGTTCAGTTGGATGGATGGATGGTGAGCGAGGGGAATGTCAATATATTTTTTACCCATCCCTGTACGTACTACTAACACTCATATTGTGAGTTTATATGCTCACGGATCAGCATTTCAACATTGTTATCTTGAACTTGCTTTTTTTCCCCGCTATAGTTTATCTTATTTTTTTAAATGTTTTGCTTCTTCTTAAATGTTGCTTGTTTTCATTTTCTCCTGCCCCCCCGCCCTCTGTCTTAGATACAAGAACCAAACACATAAACTGTTATCATCATTGCAATTTTGCCTAGTACTTTGTTTGTGTGTGTTTATTGCTCGTAGTTCTTTATAATTTTATTCACTTTATTCCTTATGGGTTCCTAGGGGATTGTAAAGGGCTTCAAGCTTTGAAGTTTCAGTAGTTGCTGTGTTATTCTTCGTCTTTTTGACGGGGTGAGGTTATTAGCCTCACGCCGCCCCCCCAATCCTTCCCTCTTTACCGGACTTACTACCGATCAAGCGAGGTGTTTTAAGGTGTGCGTCACACCCGATGACTGACTGACTGACTGAATAGACAACAAGACTTGCCTTGTAGCCTAAAGATCTTGGATTCGATCTCCGGTGGGGATATGGAGGTGTTGGTGGTGGTGATGATGATGAGTGCTTGTAACTTCTTAATCTATACATACATTAATATATTTTGTCTTTTGTACGTGTGTGCACGTGTAGGTGCATCAGTACTACTAATATTACTAATACTACTACTAGGAATCTCGAATTCATTAGGCGTCCAGTATAACAAATCGTGTTTCGGCTTGATGAATTATCCCGGTATTTTATAATACATATTATTATTATTATTATGTGTATATCTACATCTCTACATATAAACGTTTACTTATGTTATCTGTTATCTAGCTGTTTTCACTTCGTCTTTACAGTCTTCGAATATTATGTGTATTGTATTTTATCGAATGCTCCATGGACTTTTGTGCATTTCGCTGTATAACTACTGCCCATAATTAACTCCGCCTCCCTCTGGAACACACACACACACACACATAAACACACTGTCCGTCCGTCGGTCTGTCTGTCTATCTCTCTCTCTTTTTCCATATCTTAGATATCTGACAATGACTGATAGTAGATGGTAATAAGAAAAAAGAAAAGAAATCTCAAGATTAACTTCATTCCTTTTGGTTTAATGTCTTCTCTTCTCTTCTTTGTTTTTGTTTTTTTATTTTAGAAAAAAATATAATATATGAGTTGTGAAAACTAAAAATTTATGTTTTTTTCATTTATCTGTTTGATTGTGAATTGATTGTGGTGTTCGTAGAGTTGATCTACTTGCTAAGATTGTTTGTGGTAAATAAAATAAATTGCTTTATTTCCAGGGTGAAATTATATTATTATTGTTATTGTTCCCTTGAGTTCTGAATGGAACACATAGGGCTTTAAGAGAACATCACCTTGTTGCATTTTCTGCAGTCCTCCTTACCTGACCCCACAATCGCCCACAGTCTCTCATCTCCTCTGCTCACACGGTCTTCAGCATGTCGATACTCGCCACTTCCCATTCGAGTTCTACTCAACCGATGGCCTGCAATGTGTGCGAGGTCATCCAACGGTCACCCCAGTGGCATGTGTCTCATCCATCATCACTTTCTCCTATATATTTTTTGAGCAGTAGGTTCTTGTTGGTTTGTTTCCATAATTTGTTGTTGCTGATTCTTTCTAGCCATTTGATCCTCAACATGAAGCGAAGGTAGCTGTTGATAATAGTCTGTAGTGTAGTAGGTTGCTGAAAACACTGAAAGTTTCTAACGCATCTAGAAGAACTGATTGAACATTTGATTTGGAAATCGTGATCTTGTTCTCTATGCTGAGTGCACAATATTATTTTCAAACTGATATTAGAGTAGTAGTAAAGGTGTACTCTGCCTTTCCTATTCTGGCTTTGATATCCTCATCTGTACTGGCGCCGGTACGTGAAACAATGCTTCCTAGGTTGCTGAAGAAAGTTATCTGTTTCAAATTTTTCCCGTTGACAGTGATTGGTGTGTAACAATAGAAGACAAGGGCCAGGCAACAGATCGTTTATTAAGGAAAATCAACACATATTTATAGATTTTCATGTACATTATTGTAGATTATTGTTAGCAGAAAATACAGTCTTTTGATTGGTTGTTTCTCACAGAAAGTTGACCTTGCATCTCTTTGTGGCTGTGTCAGATTATCAATATGCTAACTGTATCCGCCTACGCAAAGCCTTTGTTCTCATTTTCTCACCAGCTATATGGGGGACATAAACATTGATGTCAGTTACTGTTCACCAACTTTGGCTAACAGCCAGCTCTCACCACAGGTGCATATTGTAGTTGGTTGGCTATCTTCGTCATTGTCTTTTTTATGTTTACTTGAAGCCCTGTCTTTTGTGACTGCTTCTTCTGTCAGTTTGTTGGTTTTCGCCTGTTAGTCTTCGAGTTTGTGTGATATTAGACATAAATCATCCACGCGCTAAATCCAGATCTTCTAGAGTCTTCTTATCGGTGGTCCAGCGTATTCCTGTCTTCTCACTCCCCATGTATGGTGTTCCGCGTAATCCAGTTCACCACAAATAAAAATATCATCTGTGATAATAGACAGTCTTGTCTTACTCCTGTATTCACTTCAAACGCCTCACTGAGTCTTCCAGTTTGTAATGCTTTTGTGTAATATCGTTCTATTAAAGAATGACACTATGAAGTATATTATGTGTATTAGTTTCACTATCATATTAGGTGTTCCTTTCATTCCGAGGGGAGTTTACAGCCTTATCTCCATGACCATCGGTTCTCTGCCAACACTTGTAACCGGCCTGCGCCAGCAACTGACTGCCCACAAGTTTTCATTTCTTCTTCACATATTCTTCTCCATTTCACCCTCGGACCTACGCGCGACCTATTGCGCTTCCCATTAGGATTCCACTTGAGAGTTTGATTTTTGATATCACTTGTAGGTCCATCTGCATTTCTTTCTACGTAATTTGTTTGCGGGTTCTCTGCTAGCCAGAGTTTCTTGTTACTTATTCTTTGTGGCCGGTCATCTTATCTTCAGTATTGAGGCTTTTAAGCTTATTATGCAGGGGAAATTGTATAAGTTAAATGAACCTTATTGTATGTATTACCTGTTTTAACGTTATTTAGGCTTTAGGTTTTGTTGTTTTTATTTCAATGTTTTTATCGGTTAAACTGAAATGTACTCATTGGAGGAATACAATGTCTGCATTTTTCTTCTTCTCTGCTTTGTGTTTTTAGCTTCAAATCTTTTAAATATGTCTACACGTGAAGCTCCAGCATCAGTATCAGCAATTCGTAATCCTAATAGTCAATTGGCTGGTCTTGCGCCTAGACCTCCACTTTCCGATGCAGCTTTATTCTCACTGGTGCTGACTGTACGTGAAGCTGGTCGACGCTTGGCAATGAGTGATTATGCTATCGCTACTGCTTGTACAATTCTACATCGTGCTCTACGTGTTCTTACTACAGGTGATGAACAGCCTAATCCATTAGTTGCTCCGTCGAATTCAGCTGTCAATGGATCTGATGCACTATCGGGTTTTGATTCAATCGAACAATCGTATAAGCATAGTTTAGGAGATATAGATCCTCATGTAAGAATTTATTTTATATGATATATGATAGTTATATTTGATATATTGAGTCGTCTTATTGCTGTGGAATAACTTAATTGCAGATAATCGTTTATCCTGTTACTATTGTGTTTTCCCATCCGTTCTCCACTCGGAAATATATTTGTTAATGGGAATGTACTATACTCACTAATTTTTCATCTTCAACTTCTTTTAGACAATAGCTATGGCATCTATCAGTCTTGGAGGCAAAGTACAGGAAGAGCATCAACGTCTTCGAGATGTAATTGTCTCTTATTATAGGTTAGTTTGTGTTTTATTTTTTTTATTCTTTCACGTTCCCAATGGAACATAGGCCTCCAAGCTAGAGGCTTGAAGTTTCTGTAGCAGTGGTGATTATTTTTACAGGATGGGGTTGCTAGCCTCATGCCCAACCTTTCCTCTTTACCAGCTTTATTTCTGGCTTAGCGAGGTAAAGGAGTGCGTCGGCGGGGGACCGAACCCCCAACCATGTGCATGGTCGGCGAGAGTCCTAACCGCTATGCCACCGACGCACTTAGTTTGTGTTGATACTTTTTAAAACTCCTATGGTAAACTATTCAAATCTTTCTGTACCATTATGTATCACACTTATTAAAATCATCTTTTTTTTCTTAATTTTTTTTCCAGGACTCTTCATAAAAATCGACGATCTCCTCTTGAAGTTGGAGAGGATTATGATCGTCTACGGGAAAGTCTTGTACAAACAGAATTGTTTTTAATGCGTCTATTGGCTTATCATGTACGCCGGCCTTCTTTACCACATCCGTATTTAGTGCATTATCTACACTCACTACTCCATTGGGTTGGCAAAGGTATAGCACAACCGTGTGGAAGTGATCTCAGTGCACCTGGGAATACTGTAAATGCATCTGCTATTGCATTGGCCCGACTTCCTGGTTTAGCGTGGTCGATTTTAGCAGATACATATCAGTCGTCAATGTGTTTAGATTTCGCACCTGAGCATATTGCGGCAGCTGTATTACACCTAGCTTTACGGATAGCTGGTGTTGAGATTCCTGGTAATCGACACTCTGAAATGGCTTGGTGGCAGGTAATTCATCATTTCTTATGTAAACGTTTTTTATGTGTTTTGAATAGTAGCAACATTTAAAATAAATGAATATTGCCTACATATTATGAAATACGCATTTTGGTAAATTTTTTCGATTTACAGCTTGATTCCACACCGTATTTTCAGTACAAGTATGGAATTTTCAGCATGGATATCGGTAGCCCAAATTCAGGCCGACCATAGATATCGGGTGTGCGCCGGCAGGGGATCGAACCCCGGACCATGTGCATGGTCGGCGAGAGTCCTAACCACTGTGCCACCGACGCACATTACTAGTGAAGTTATATTTTCTGAGTTGAATGGTTTGTTTTTGTGGAGCTTTCATTATCTCTCTGGACAATATTTTCAGTGCAAACTTCAATATGAAGTGTGATATTTTGAAATAACTGCAAGACTATTTGAGACCCTTTGGAATAGATCTTGCCTAAAAACCATGAAAATCGCTTCTGTCTACACTATCTTAAGCAAAAGAAAATTCAGCAACAGAAGAAGACAGCTCAAACTATAGAAGAAAGTAATTAGAAAGCTGGTTGTGGAGAAGAGAAGTACCTTTTCGACGAAGTCGTCAATTAGGCTATGTATTTGTGTAAAGGGGTGAGGGTCAAGCGTCAAATTATCACGAATAACAAGATTCCAAACAGGGTTTAAAAACGTAATAATAGCAAAAATTAGCATGAATTTTGGATAAAAAGTAATCGGATAATGATTATTAAGAAAATTGACTGTTTGTAATGGCCGTGGTAAAGACAAAGGTTGCGATGTTTACTTCTTTCAAATGTGTAGTGTTGACTTGAGCATTTCGATTTTTAATGCTTCTCAGCTATGCGTAGGTGTCTTGATCTCAATCACTCTGAGAGGTTTCATTGAGTCTTGTGTGGGACTTCGAAGGAATTTTCAAATGAAGCTGAGTGTCCTGAGTTCACTAGATGTTCTATTACCAAGTTATAGACACACTTATGTTCTCCCTTTGTTAGTCCAACATAGGGGTTCAGCCGCACGTCTCCGTTGCGTTCGGCTCTCCGCCAACGTTTTCACCTGGCTCCACGTCTGCCCACATGCTCTCACCTCCTCTTCACATGACCTCCTCCATGTCACCTTCGAACTGAAGACAAACTCTCCATTTCCCATTCGCGTTCCACTCAAACGATAGCCTGACGTGTAATGTCATTTGATGGTTTTCTCAGAGTATGGGCAATCCACCTCCATTTCTTCTTGCTTATTTGTTGCACAATAGGTTCCTGCTGGGTTGGTTCGCTCCCAGAGATCCCTTACTATTGCTGATCTTTTCTGGCCATCTGATCTTGAGTATTGAGTGAAGACTGCTGTTGATGAAAGTCTGTAGTTTGTTTGAGATGCTCTTTGTTACGCGTCAAGTCTCTGATCCGTATAGTAGCAGTGACTGACTTCACATTGGAGTTGAAAATCCGGATCTTATTTTTGATTCTGAGTGCTGTTGACCTCCACACAGACTTGAGAGTAGTGAAAGCTTGTCTTGCTTTCCCGATCCTTGCTTTAATATCCTCTTCAGTTCCACCTGTAGTTGAAACGATGCTTCCCAGGTAGGTTAAGAAGGTTGCTTTTTTCCGTTTTCTCCCATTTATGCTGGTTTATTGTTTTCTGTTGTGGTTGCTGTTGCTGTTGGCCAGGAATCTTCATCATCACCTCTGTTTTCTCTATTTTCACCTGAAATGAAGTCCTATCTTCTCTGGATGCTTCTTCTGTCAACTTGTTGTTACCATATCACCTCTCGATCGACGCTGTCGAAGGCCTTTTCAAATTCAATGAAGTTGAGACAGAGAGCTGACTGCCATTCCATTAGGCAGCCGAACTGGATTAGTGTTCTTAAAATCATCTACAGGATAAACTGCACCTATGGACGTCTTCTTCGTCTACTCGTCCACAAACATAAACTTCTGTGCTTAAACTCAGTCAGCCAGAGTTATCACTTTCTGAAGTCTACATTGAACCTGAAATAGTAATAATAATAATAACTTGTAGCGTTTTGTGTGTTTCTTTTTGATTTATTTATCAGTTTTCAAGGCGTGTGTGTGTGTGTTTGTTTTCTCAACACTTCTGAGTTTATTTATTTAATTTTTTTACTTTATTCAGGCAATTTCAGACAGTCTGTCTCGTGAAATAGTTGAACAAATCCAATTACGTGTAATGGATATCTATGCAGTTGATGATAAATTCAAGGCTAGTTCAATGAAAAATTTCACGGATGAATTCTAAACAACATCCAACCCCACCAAGCCCAGCCCCGTCCCACCGTATGTTTCATTCGAGCATTGTGCATTTTTCCTGCTGTAATTTGTTTTTTTGTACATTCAGGATTTTGAAAGAAAGAAAAAAGAAGGGGGGGAGAGAAAGCAAAGTATTTCAGTTTTTATCATTCTTATTCTTCTTATTATTGTAAAAAGAAAAATCCACTATTCAATTTGTTTTCTTCTTCTTTTGTTATGAGCACAACGTTTTGTTTATTACTGTCCTTTAGTAGACTCTATCAATTATTGCATCCATGTATCTCATCATCCTCCTCCTTAGTTTTTACTTGGATGGCCAACATTGTGTCGTGTGTAATATATATTTGTGTATTGTGGATACGTCTTTGTTTATGAATTACAAGTGAATTGAAGTATTTTTGCTATATATAGTTGAGTTGTTTTTGTATTAACTAGTGTGTAATGCTCACTAGCGGACTGGTAAAAGGACGTTTTCGCCTGCATTTCATAGGGAGAAGTCATGATTAGCGTGTAAGGTGTATCAGGTGTGAGCACAAATACTCGCCGCTAAAATCGCCAAATGACAGTAGTTAGAATTCAAAGGTTATTGAATTTGAACCAAAGTCACTGAATAGTAGTCGACGAGGTCACCTTTTAACCCGATGCTGTTGGGTTTGATCCGTGGTAGAGTCGTGGGTTTGCTTGATGAAGAGTACTAAACTAGGACGAAGCAGCTGTCCAGTTTTCACTTGTGGTTTCTAGTGATTCTCAAACTGATACTCAAAACGGTACTCAAAATTGAAACGAATTATATCCCTGCAAAGTATCTCTTGAAAATAATAATAATAATTATTATAATCAAAACCTCGGCGGAAGCAATTTTATACCTTTGCGTTCGATTCACTATTTCAGTTTTCCTACATCTAATTTCGTTTGATTATATATATAGCTGTACAATCGCATTTATATATAATTATTTGTGTGTGTGTGTGTGTGTACACATGAGGTTTGTCAAGTTTAGATATTTGACGGGGTAATACAAGAATGATCTAATATAGAAACAAAGTTAATCAGACAGCAAGTAAAGTAAGATTGAGTTAGTAAGTTAGATGACGTGATATAATTGACTAAAATGTTTCAACTTAGATCAGAGTAGCAACAGAGGTAATTACAGGTAGTGACTAAGTAGAAGTGAAATTGAGCGTTGTTCAAGTCAGTAACAGTGGTAGTGAGGTGTAGAAATTAAATCGGGTGGGGTAGAGAACAATTGAGAAGACGAAATAATACTAATGAAGAGACAGGTAAAAAAGGTTAGGTAGAATTGACTTGTTGGCTAATAAGATACATTACGTCCATTGCAAGTGTAGTGATTGAACGAACTTCTTCTGTATGCAGAGTTCAGGACTTAGCAAGTGAATCGCCATTGCTTCTGCAGTTTGAAGAAGTCTGATTCGTACACCTTTAGGAAGACTACTTCTTACTCTGTAGACGACTTTGAAGTTTGTTTTCGGTGTAGCTTGGTGTCCGGATTCTATCAGATGTTCTAAGATGGAACTGCGGGGGCATCGATTTTCTCCTTTGTAAAACCATGTTGGTAAGTGTTCGGTTATACGTTTGGAGAGCGAGCAGTTGTTAAACGACTTCAAGATGTCGTCTAGATTTTCTTCGTTGTTGACGATAATCAAAGTATCGTCGACGTATCTCTTATAGATTTCAAAGGTATCGATCATTTTCTTCAGGCATGTGTTTTCGAGTTTTGCTATGAAGAAATCTGCAAGCAATGGGCCTAGTGGTGAGCCCATGGCTATACCATCCTTTTGGCGATATATTTCGTTGTTGAAAGAGAATTGAACGTTCAGGGTACACCTCAGTAGGAGTTCTTTAAGATGCTCGGTGGGTATACCCATGTTTATTCCTTTGGACTGAATAAGTTCGCATATATAGCATATTGTTCCAGTCAGTGGAACGTTTGTGAATAGTGATGTGACATCTAATGAAATCATGGTGTTGTTGGATACGTTGATGTTTTCGATTGAGTCGATAAAGTTCAATGAATCTCATATATATATATATATATATATATATATATATATATATATATTCTATCTGTTTGACTGTATGTAACTGGTGATGATGTTGGTCTTTTTGAGAATCAAAGTAGTATATACTTGTAGTAATATTTTCAAACATATTATCCACAATATTTCTACTTACAATGAGTTTCTGCTGTTGCACTTGGCTATGATTCCCCCGACCCACCCACCCGCCATCCCCAGTAAATTGAATTATTATGCTCAGCTGACACGTTTTCAGGGGCTTCTAGCTATTAACATTACCAATATGATATCTAGGACTACTGCATGCTGGTAGTCTGAGTTATTCACTTTCCTGAAGCATATAATGTAAGTTCACAAATAAAATACTCGAAGACTTGTCTTCTCATTTGCCATTATAAATTGCTACTTTTCATAAAGTCTTACTTAAGGCATTGACATGCAAAAATCATTTAGCTGCTTTGAATTTACTCAACCAATAACAAATCAGGTGCTCTTTTGTCTACTAAAAAAGAGCACACGCCGAATAGTAGTCTGTTAGAAGTCGACTTCACTTTAGCTTACAGTTAATGCATAGTGGTGAGTAGCAAATTTGATAAGGGTGGAGGAAGAGACGGAAGGCATTGTGATGAGAGATTATTTATTCACATCCATGCTACATTCAGCTAAGTCCTATTCACTTCAAGTGTTTGTTTGTAGGGATTTGGTTGATTGGTTACAGGATTTCATCATGAGCTGACATTAGTTAGAGAACCATTGGAAAACCTGGGAGTACTGGACAGCTGTTTCGTCCTGGTTTGGGACTTTTCATCAGTACGCACCCACCGGGTCGGGCGTGAGGACAAATACTCGCCGAAGACATTGGTTAGGGGTCGCGCTATGTCGTGAATTGGCAGAAGTTAGAATTCATGGACCATTGGATCGGGTCCCAGTGGCTTAATGGTATACGAGCTCGCCTTGTAACCAGAAGGTCCTGGATTCGAATCCCGGTGGGTGCGTACTGATGAGGAGTCCCAAACTAGGACGAAACAGCTGTCCAGTACTCCCAGGTTTTCCAATGATTCTCTAACTAATGTCAGCTCATGATGAAATCCTGTAATCCTATTCACTTCATTTATGTGGTCGGGTATGTTCCTCATAGAAGTGAAAAGGCGAATGCGGACGTCTGGTGCTTCCAACCGAACTGATAAACATGCTGATCTACCTAGGGGACCTGAAAACCCCGATTCCAATCCTATAATGTACATGTGTGGTAAGAGATGTCTGCTAGCCAAAATTGGTAGACAGTAATTTACGTCAATGTTTGTGTCCCAAGTATTGGTCATATGAAAAACAAGAACAAAGACTGACTCAACAATCAATCACAGCAGACTTTGCGTAGGCGGATACAAATAGCAGATAGATGATCTGACTTTCAAGAAACAAATACAAAGAGATGAAAGATTAACTTTCAGTGAGAAACAACCAATCAGAAGACTGCGTTTTTCTGCTAACAATAATCTATGATAATAATGTACATGAAAACCTATAAATATCTGTTGATTTCGTAAATAAATGATCTGTTGCCTGACTCTTGCCTTCTGTCGTTACACATGGTCTCCAGAATCCGGAAGGATTGGTCACTGGTGACCGTAGGTTCGCTCCTCTACTGCCTTGTAGATCAAACTTCAAGTCAGAGGGTTGGATGGTGGTCCCTTAAGACAACCACTTGCTTGGGGCCTAGTTGTCCGGATAGTATCCCAGCTGTCGCACAAACTATGAGACAGTTTTGTGTGGTACATTTCTTGTTGTCTATAATGTAGCAGCAAGTTGCGATTTTTGGGATAATAAATGATGATAGACGATGTACCGAGACTCGATGCGTTGTTCCAGCGTATGATTATAGTGTCTCAGTTAGTGTTATTTGTCCAGCATGTGTTTTGGAATTTGAATTCCCTCATATTTTATAAAATATATCTTGTTAAATTATGTTGTGCAATAAAAACGCAATGCTTCAGTTGTGGGTATAGATTGAATCTACGTACACATGTGGTTTCAGTGGTTGAAATGCTACACAACTTTTACGCTTTGATGTTTGGGATTAAGCTCTAACAAGTGATATTGATTAACACCTTTCGTATTTCTGACGAAGATATTTTGACAGCCCTTAGCATCGAAAATACGATTTTGGGGTTTTTTTGGCATTCAAATCATTTCAAGGTGTAAATCTCATCACAGCTAACATAAGTAAGAAAAAACCGGAGGCGGCAGTATTGGCAGTTACTAAGAAAATGATCGAAGCGAAGTAGCCTTGTTATTTTTCCCGTAGGAAACAACATACTGTTTTGAATGGAAGGCGCTCGACTTCTTTGCTAACGGTAATTGGTGCACCTCAAAGATTGGCTGTACTCTCTCCATTCCTTTTTCCTTTCTTTTTGCATGACCTTCCATATTCTTCCAAAGCTAATTTCATTAAATATGCTGATGATCCGTCTAACCATTTTCGTCCCAGTAGTTTCTGCTTTGGATTGTTCTTATATGAATGGATTCTTGTCTGAAGTTAACAGTTGGTCTCACCTAAATGGCATATTGTTGATTTTAGTTTCAGATGTGAACAACACTCGCGTGAAGTGATTCAGTCGCATGATTCCTGTAATATCGATGGCACTATGATAGGCAGTAAATCGAATATCCATCATCTGAGCATCAGTTTTTCTTCGAATCTCTGCTGCTCGTCTCACATCCTGTTGGTTTCTAAGAAAATTTTTCGTTTAACTTATTACATAAAGAAGTTGAGACTCTCTTCTGGCATTACTCAACCTCACTTCTTCTCTTACAATTTGTTAATTCATGCATTCTGTCCATTCGTCTTTATTGTTCGCCATTACTCTTCCCTGGACTTCTCCAGAAAGACTATGTCATATTACGTAGAACACTGAAGATTGTAAACAGGGTTAATGGTGTGCTTTTGATTCAGCTATCTGACTTTATTGTCAATAGGCATCTCAATTCTTGCAAGCAGTTGGCTAAAGTTATCTTGTCTGATACCGAACACCCTCTTACAGCTACTAAATATAAACATTCTACGATACCACCATATTTATCACGGGTTTTGTTTGAAGAGAGTCAGATGTCAGAAAAGAACTTATAAACTTTTAAATCAGTAACTGAACTGCAAAGTATAAGCAAAGATTATTGCTACAAGTATTATCTATGATACTATCTACTTATAATTCACTATGTTTCCACAAACATTCTGTTTACAGTGGGTTCCATTATTAATATTATTATTACCATTTTATGTAGGTACATATTTATAAATTGTTGCAATGTGTATTAGAACGCTGAAAATTCCATTCCGAATAATTATTATCGTTTGGG